TTCTCCCTTCGGGCTCATAGCCAGAGCTTTTTTCACCTTTTCCGCCCTCGTTTAGGGTCCTTTATCTCATCCTCCATTTCGAAGACATTCTGAAGAGATCGGAAACATGCCTTCACCAAGGGAAGTGCCAACTCTGAGTAGGTGAAGCAACCTAAGAAATGTCCTGAGATTTACACGAAAATCCCCTTGGGGGTCACCTACTCTGTAACTTTCCTGCAGCAGTATGTAGAGTGAGAGAAAAACGTATGTAGACTATGGCTTTTCGGGGAAATGGAATAGTCCAACCAAAAAGGTAATATAAGGACCAAAAGATTTGCGGAAATAAGGAGTTCTTTCTGTCTTCTTGCTGAAACCTAAAAATACCTGGTCTAATGCCTTGATTGATTCTTCCAAGTGACTCACGGACTAGTCTCAAGGCCTTAACTGAAGCGTTAATAGAAGGCTTGCCATAGGAGATCCAGACAGCTGGTCTCACGTGAGTGCGATGGTTTTCCAGGCTGAGCTCATGCGTAACAGTGAGAACAAAATTAACGATCCTGCACTCTAGGAGGATAAGGTTTGTCAGACCTCAGTTTTTTTATCCCGCGAGCAGCCGCTGATGATAGCTAGGCCGTTGAAAGCGACGTCGTCTATCTCTGCGCCTTGAGGTGGACCTGGGGGCGGTGGATTGTGCATAAAGTAGTTTGTGGTCAAGCACACCGACTCGGCACTCCCTCCGCCCCGAACCGCCTTGTTTTGATTGGTGAGACAGCGTCAGGGCGAGGGGCGGTGGGCGTGAGTGCAGTGGCGGATAAGGCTTGGCAGCTCGTTTACGCGTGCAACACACACGAACTGATTCGCACCCCATGTACCAAACTCGAATCTCACAGGGAGGGGTGAAATTGCTCTAGAGGCCTTTCTGAGGAGTCATTGTGGCCTGGATCTCAGGTCTGATAAGCAGCGAGTTATCCCCTCAGCGGGTAGCGCTCAAAACCAAGGCTTTCAACGCACCGTGATGGTTTTAAAGCGGTCCATGTGAGGCATTTGCCCTGATACGCTGTGGCGGTTGGTTCCGCAGCTTTGGCCTCGATCCTTTTATTCTCGCCCATACACCAGCCGACTGACCGGGCCAGTCAACCAATGGGTGACGAGATTTGACGCGGAAGCAAACAGGATTGGACGGTTCGCCTGCGCGTGCCATACACGATGCAGTTTAGTATCACTCGCAACTTTGAAAAAATGAAACTTTTTGGGGAGAGTGTTTCATGCAATCTGTCGTTGTGCACTTACACGTAAAACTCGTTTGCCTCGTTTGGGCTATCTGATCCCGTGAACATACACGAGGCACCGAACCAGTGGCAAACCTCAAGGTGGCTGCCCTTCCTGGCGTTGGTTGAACCTGAACTACGTATTTGCTGGACTCGTCTGCAAAACACAGAACTCCTAATTGCGCTTTAATAATTTAAGCAGCAGCAGCAAACTTTACCATTTTTTCAGTCATGCTTGCTTTGCAAAATCGGAATTCCGAAAAGCGGAAAGTTTAAGAGGATGCAAAATTGAAGTACTGTTTCAGGAACTCAACTAGGCGGTCAAAATGAGTATTCAGAAAGAGATGTCATAACTCTTTAAAGTTCTTCAAATAAAGCGCTGGCAGTAGAATCGCCCTCATGGCAGAACTGGTTGACATTCAGTCTACTTTTTCAAGCATTTCCAAACATCTTGATCACCTGAACCAGCCCGTACGAATAGCAGTCGCCGCTTTGTGCTTCTCGAGCTATACACACTTGGGGTTTTTTGCACACATTGTCAACTGTCCTACACACTAGGTTGTCTGTAGTTAGGACTCGCTGCGGCAGGACTTTGGCAAGGATATGGTTTGTGTCCGGAGCTACTTACTCCGGGGAGCATGTGCATTGGCCAAACGAGCCGAACATCTAAGAACTTTCTGGTATCACAAAGTTTGATCCTCAATATTGGCACCATTTAAAAGGGGACACTGTTTTTACCCTTTAACGATAGTTAGAAACGTATTAAATGTCTCTATGCAGACATTGTGAAAAGGTATTGCATTGTCGTCTTGTTTTAACTCCGATGACTACCTTAGAGCATCTTGACCACCCTCACACTATAGTCGCCACGAGGTATTTTTATTTCTTTCTCTAGTACTCACAAATAAATATCACCAGTTATTTCGGTTTAACACAATTGTTCCCCGGAGTAAGTAACCCCCGCCATAAACCATTCCTTTGCCAAGATTTTAACTATTAAACCAAAATTCATTATTTAAAAAACTGATCAGACATATTTCTGTCATAATATAAAGTGCTTTTTATTTCGTTTGAGAAAAAAACGTTTTAAAAACCTACTGCCATCTCGGACAAAACAACCCTCAGAATGGAAACCCAAAGGTAGGTAGTTGATGATTTCATGGTTCGCCTCAAAATCTTTCTTTTTTCGAAGTTGCGCATTTAATCAATGAATACTGTCATTCAATATCCACTATTTAAAGTTGTACAGCTGCGAACTAATCGTTGCATTGAAATGAGCAATTACGTTTTTCTACTGAGCTCATCTGTTACACCACTAGATATATATAAATTGAAAAGTAGGCATCTTGGGAAATATAATAAGAAAGGTGAAGTTCTTTGGAAAACACCAAAATTTTATTGTGCATTTTCGAGACTGGTTCCCCAGCTCGTATTCAGACAACGGGTGTGCAAAAACAATTAACTTTTCGACTGAGTCTGGCAAAAGGGTTCTATGATTGGTTAAAGTCGTCATCTCGGGATTGGCTGACTAAGTTTGAATCTGTCCTTAACGCTTTTGTATGTGGCATCTAAATCGATATGCCGGTTGATGCATGCCTCATCTGAGTGCATTGCCTCCAGGAGTTCGCGGTTTTTCCTTGTTTGGCAGCCGCCAACAATGCGAGTGTTTTCCCATGCGAATTTATGCCCAGTGTCCAGTGTGTGCATGGCCACCTGGGATAGATGGTCGCGTCTCTTCACCGCTAACTGATGCTCATGTATACGGGTTGAGACAGATTTCCCAGTTTGGCTACAATAAACGGCATCACAACTAGAACATGGGATTTTGTAGACGACACCTCTTCTTTCAAGGTAGCCGAGCCTGTCCTTAGGACATGCATCAACCGGCATGTCGATTTAGATGTCACATACAAAAGCGTTAAGGACAGATTCAAACTGAGTCAGCCAATCCCGAGATGACGACCTTAACCAATCATAGAACCCTTTTGCCAGACTCAGTCGAAAAGTTAATTGTTTTTGCACACCCGTTGTCTGTATACGAGCTGGGGAACCAGTCTCGAAAATTCACGATAAAATTTTGGTGTTTCCCAGAGAACATCACCTTTCCAACTATATATATATATGAAGATGAACGGCTCGTCGTCAGAGAAGGATTTGGTGTTACCACCTCGAAATTTCAAGAGTATGTTTCAATTTTTCCGACGAGCCTTCATATCTCCATATGCAAATATATTTTGGAGAGCGGGCATCCTAAGAAATATAACATAATGACTAATAGGTTCTTCGGAAAAAATAGAGATGTTTATAAAGTCCCTTTTTGACGTTGGTTTCCCAGGTAGTCGTCAGACCTGAGAAAATGTGCAAAAAACAACTAATATCTTAAACGTGCTGGAAGATCGATACTCATTTAATATTTGCGCCAGTAAGTGACCATGGTGTGCGTCATCCTGTATTACTTCGTTCTGGTCTCTTCCACTTTTCCCTGAGATTTTCGTGCATGACGTCTAGCTCAATGTGCTGATTAATACATGACTCATTTGAGCGCATGGCTTCAAGAAACTCTCGGCGTGGCACATGAGAAGGTGTGCCAAATATCAAGGGTGTGCGTGGCCATTTGAGACAGGTGGTCTCGCCACTTAACTGCCAGTAGATGTTCGTGAATGCGCGTAGAGGCAGATTTTCCCGTTTGGCCACAATATACGGCAGCACAGGCATTGCATGAGATCTTATAGACGACTTCCTTCTCATCAAGATAGCCAAACTCAAACTTAGGATAGGTTTAAGATGAAAGGAACTAAATAGTTTCAATCGAGCATCCAAAGCAGATACCTGGCGAATCCTTCCTTACCTCAGAAATGTGTCTCAAGTCGTCGAATAAATGTGCACACAAACCGATGACTAATTTATGCACTCAGCTTGTGCACTCTAAGGATATGGTTCATATACCAAACAAGAGTACATTCTCTTGTCGTTTTATCCTGAAGTTAAAGGCGACAGGGGAAAGGATCTGTGGCTCAGTGGTAGAGCATTGGGCTTAGAAACGTTCAATGATCAGAGATTCTGGATTCGAATTCTAGGCCCTGCAATGTGGGATTCATTGTGACTGGCTGATGACGGCTGAAAACCTAGAAATGGACCTCCGACTCTCCGTTGTCTTTGCCTGCGCTACTTCTGCATATCATATAAATATACATCATTATGAGGGCAGATTCGAGATCCAAATAAATTATCGCGTTCATATTCTTCCGAAGAAGAAAAAGGAGGGGAGGAGACATCTTAATTCGCCTGCGGAGTCACAAATGACCAGTTCATCCGGTTACGAGAAGTGGATTAACAAGCATGCCGATTTGGCGGTCACAACGACGTCTGCGAATGGGATGCCGGTCACACGAGCCCGCTAGCAATCGACCACACAGGAGCCAAATTTAATCAAAATAAACAGGTCAAATGTCCTGCAGCGATCAGGGTTATAATACGAAACAGGCGGCAAGGCTGAAGAAACCAAAACCAGCGGGAAAAGTCAATACGCAATCACTTTCATGAGGGAAATGAGGAAGTTTCAGAAAAACCAGCACAAATGCATTGCGATCCATGAACTCGCCTCCTCCTTCTCCCCCCTCCTTCCTCCCCCGCCTCCCGTCTCGCCCCCTCCTTTTCTCCTTCCTCTTCTTGAGTTGGGGCACTTTTTTATAAATATATAACAACGAAATTTTTATTTCATTTTAAGGAAATTCTTGAGCTGATTCTTTCCACCTAGGGAGAAATGGCGGCCATTTTCGTACGTTCCACATTAAACTGGCATGGGCTGGTGCACATTCTAGCGTTGACACCAAAAGATCGATGGTACCAACACCACTCTTGCCTCCTCGGTTCCTCCCGACGACTGCCGGACCGCTGATGACACCGCGGAAGGCTACGACCTCGAGTTCTCGATCGGCGAGTCGAGATCGTAGCCACCTGCGCCTGGAGTCTGAGGATGTCTGATTGAATCTGCCGAAGGCCTGGCACCGATTCCGGCGACAGTGTTCTCGTCAGCGCTGGAACGCCTGCTTTATTGATCTCCGTCGTCAGATCGCCCAGATAATCGCGTCCTCTGTGTGGCACCCCATTTTGCCTCGGCACAAGTGCTTTCAGCATTCGATGAGGAGTCGGTTGCCCAGAGTGCTGCTTTAATACCGACTGATTGGGGTTACTGGCGGAGCCGGAATTCCGTGGCTGCCTCAGCACCTCAGAGGGCACTTTGTTGTTTGCGTTCGTGTGAACGATTTTTGGTGGTGTATTATAGTAAGTTATTTTCAGAACCGCATTCTTCAAACGATCGTATGGTGCGGATGAATTGGAGTTAAGCAGGTGACCGCACAAATCATTGGAAAGGTCAGAGGGCAGAGCGAACACAAGATGTGAGAATTTAGCCCACTGGGAGGTGACCCCATCGGAGGCGAAGAGTGCTTCTACTGCCGCAAACCAGGTCGGAACATTCTGAGGCCAAAATTCGGGCAACTTGAGGGGTGGCCGATCTGGCCTGCCGTTCGCGATGGGGGCTGACCAATCCGCAGCACTCATAGACCCCGTGTTGTTTAGCCCAAATGCGCACAACTTCGGAAGCCCTCAGATTCTTGAAAGACAAAGTGCACTTGGTGCGAGTTACCACTGTGTGACTCTGGCAAAAGGTTAAACAACTGGTCAGATCAGGCGACCTCCGCCATCCTGAGCCAATAGACGACAAACGGCACGAAACGAACGCACACTATTTTAATGAACACCCAACAGCCCGTTTGTTTGACTTTCGAAATTAGAAGCATTACTGACCCATTAGGAGAGAAGAGGTGTGGGTGTGGACTGGGGCACTTGGTCGGAAAAGTCTTATTTCATCAGGCATAGGCGCCTTGAACGACTAAGCGTTAAAACCTTGAGAGCGTGGAAAATCGATTTTTGAAGTTTCGGATTCTGGTGCTTTTCGGCTTTAACTCGACAATTCTCACTGTAAAGCAGAATATACTCAGCGTTTCTTAGGTTTTTACCTTTATCGTGACTTAGAGTTATTCCTAAGTAAACAACTGGTGCTGGCTTTCTGTGCAGATATTTGATTCCACAAGTGATCGAGAGGGGGGTGAGAGTGAGTGAGCAATATACGTGTCATTTTGAAACTATAATTCCAATTTTTTCGGCACAGCACTTCCCCCACTCATTGCGACCAGAATACAAATCAATTAAATGACAAGAGAATGAATGGGTTTGCATAAATATCTGTAGCTCTAATGGAACTAGTTCGAATCGCAGTTCCTGAAATTCAGTCTCTTTACACATATGCTTTCATACTGGAAATGGGAACACGGACCATCGATATGCCGATGTATGAAAAGGGACATCCTGGAGACCACGGTGAGTGGGGCGAAAAGACTTTGAGGTGATTAATTAAGGGTGAAGGAGATGGACAAAATCGTCCAGAATTCGATCGTTAAATCGTTTGACCGTTGTAAAGTGTCGTTATACTATGATATCGACTAAACAGAACATAATACCGGCAGAAGTAAACCTTTAGGGAACGGCCCTTACAATGGGCATATATTTTTAAAAAATGAAAGAAAAATAATGAGAATGATAAGGAATAAGAGAAAGAATGCAAGCATCTATAAATCGCCAGTCTAAGGGATGGGAGGTGTGGTAGGAACGTAAGGATCGAATGCCTTAAACAAGTTTACGAACTTCGTTAAAAAGGATTTCACCTGAAGGGAGAATTGAAGATCTGGAGACGAAGTAGCACTCGGATGCCAGGGAGAGGACATTTTGTTGGAAAGAATATAAAAGGATTTGGCGATGGGAGACAGCCGAAGTCGAAACAAGCAATGAACTCATTTTTGATTCCCTAGTAGAAGATAACCTTCTAACGACCATACAGAGGAATAATTCAAAACCATATTTCAGAACCTGGGGATTAGTCTAATTTTCAATAGATTAACCAACAAACATATCTTCGGCTCAGTTAACATATAGGCAGTCACCGGGAGATCCTAGATCATCAATACGCAGAGGAAAGAAGTGAGGAAATAAAATGGAATCTTGGAGCCCTCCAGCATTATCAGAAAAAAGAGTAAATTCCCGCTTGTTTGACTGGGAAAACTGAGTGCAGATTGCAATGTTATCTGCAAGCCAGACGGGAAAACCGCAATCAGGCGTTTTCTTAAGCAGGAGGAAAAAGAAGAAGAAGAAGAAGAAGAGGAGGAGGAGGAGGAGGGGGGAGGGGAAGGAGAAGATTCTGTCTATGTTTTCTAATTTTCATTAATTTTACCTAATTGCAGCTCAAAGAATATAAAGCGTCAGGTCGAGAAAAGCAGACATTTCCGACATTTTCCATTATTCGAATTTAATAGATGGGTGAAATCAATGAAGACTGTCAGAAAAACTCGTGTTGTTTACGGAAAACGTTCTTTTACTAAAAAAAACACCTCAGGATTGGTTTGACTGTTTCAAAGATGGTGATTGCAGGGCGACGTGCACTCTGCACTCTGAACGGAAGTTGGTCCTTCATGAGGATCGTCTCAATGCTTTAATTCATGCAGCTACCCGTCATACAGTCCAAGCATTCGCCGGCGGGTTGCGATGCGGGAAGTCAACAATAGCTCGGCATCGGTAATTTAATAATCAGTATTCAATAAAAATGATCCAAAAGCCTTCATGGGCTCCGTGAGCTTTCAGTGAGGACAACAAGGTTCAGCATGAAAATTTTATGCCTTATTATTGGCCCGACGTTACCTCGATCGTCGTCAGCGCTAAGCATTTTAGAGATTATTATTACTGACGATGAGAAGTGGTGCTTATTTGTGAAAAATAAACAATTAAAAGCATGGCTTAGCCTCGACAAGCATGCAAGACTTCGAACCAAACCTGATCTGACTTATATGTTACGAATTTCTTGGAAGGAACCCGATCATTAATGCGGAGTTGCACAGTCAACGGGTTCGTCGTCAAGATAGAGCAATTCGACCAAACGCCCAATCCGTCCAAATAGCGTCATTTTACGGCAAGGCAGCGGAAGGCCCTACGTCCCAAAATCCGTCAAAAGTGTCTTTGAAGGGTTTGGCTGGCAGGCTTTTTCGTATATCCCTTTCTTTTTTCGTTCACGCGAAAACAATTCGACCGAAGTATCCTTCGAAAACAACGCGGATTTTAAAATTTGGACCGATGATCTCCTGACGTCAAATATCACGTATTCATTAAAAACATTGGACTAAAATACTGGCTGATGTTGTGATGAACGCCAAAGAGGAATGCATAGTTGGCTAATTCTGTGAACAATACATAGTAATCGGATGACATTTGTATTATTAAAAGGTGCGTGAGGTTAAAAGCCTACGTAATGTATTCGCAAAATACCGAACGTCAGAAACATGAATACAAAGGCATCTGAGATATGTAGTAATAACCGTTGTTTTAATGAACGCCTCGTTGTTGAACAGTAAGTTAGAAACGCAGCAGAACAGTGAGAAAATATTCCTTGTGCAAGAGTGAAGACGCCTTTTTGAAGACCCTACAGGTAAGAATGAGGATGGGTGGCACTACACCATCCCGTTGTTGAAATTTCTGGAGTATTTGAAGTGTTCCTCAACAAGCACGGGGGTGGCAGGCTGAAAAGAAGGTGAATAGCACCTGGAAGGCATGACTGACGTGTTCATAATATTCTCTTTCTGTAGGAGAGCGGACGAGCAACTAGGAGGGACACGTTAGCCCGTAGAAAACCCCATCCATTCGCATAATGCCGAACTGAGAAGGAGGATGAGGATGAGGAGGAGGAGGAGGAGGAGGAGGAGGGGAAGGAGGAGGAGGAGGAGGGGAAGGAGAAGGAGAAGAAGAATAAGAACCAGAACAAGAAGAAGAAGAAGAAGAAGAAGAAGAAGAAGAAGACGAAGAAGAAGAAGAAGAAGTCAAAAAACTGTAAAAGGCTTTGGAGCTGACACTGAGATAGTCATTCTGCTGTTGACAAAACTCCCCACGGTCAACGTAGTCAATTCTGACTACCAGATCGGGGTTAGAACGCGCCTCGGCGACCGGAAACCGCAGGCGCTCTATGATAGCACCCCTTTTTCAAAAGGGCCGCAAAGTCGGCTGAATTGTCAAATCGTTAAAACTGAAGCCTTGCCCTGACTCACCGTCTCAGCGTTCTATGAGTGCAGATGATCTTGACGATGAGGAGCACGCGGTCACCTCCGAATTCGCATGCATTAGGCCTTTTGAAAAGTCCTCGAAGCTTCAACCACTTCCAGCCTCCCCGCCCACTTCACCCCTTCCCATGTCACGAGTCCAAGTTACTAATGGAACCCCAGCAATTCACTTACGCGCCCTGGTCCACAATAACAATCAGTGCGCATATTAAAAAGTATATACCCTCAATGATCTCATCAGAAACTACCAGTTGCCTTCCGTTCCTCAGTCGTTCCGCCCTTCACTGTGTGATATGGCTGCTTGTAGTGAACCTTCCACTGAATATGTAATCATGACTTCGAAACAGGGATCTCTGCTGTTCTGTAGCATGAGGAGCAGTAAACGTCTTCTGGCTATCCCAGTGTTACATATGTTTCTCGTCTGCCTTGATAAGCTGCAGACATCTTAATCAACAAATACATGCAGGAATTTCTACAAATCATCACTGTGCTGGAAGACGGACATCCCAAGAAATTAAGTTGAAAATAAATAAGATTCTTTAGGAAGACAGTAACCTTTGATGCGTAAATTTTCAAGTCTGGTTCCCCAGCTCGTCGGAAGACTTTTGGGTTATGTACAAAAACAGTTAACTAAATAACCATGTAAAACAAGTGATTCTATGGTTGGCCGAAGCCTGCGCCAATGCGCCTCAATGGTTCTTCGTCATCCCCTCGGCTTTGGCTGCGCTCGCCTCAATTTGTTCTTGAAAAAAATGTATGTAGCATCTAAATCGACATGCCAATTGATGTATGCCTCATCTGAGTGCATTGTCACCATGAATTTGCAGCCTTATTAGGCAGGCGCCAACAAGGCGAGTGTTCTCCCAAGCAAATTTGTGGACGGTGTCCAGTGTGTGCATAGCCATCTGGGATAGATGATCTCGCCTCCCCACCGCTAACTTATGTTCATGTATGCGGGTAGAGGCAGTTTTCCCGGTTTGGCCATAATAGACGGCATCATAACTTGAACATGGTATTTTGTAGACAACACCTTTTCTATCAAGATAGCCAACCCTGTCTTTACGGTGTACATGCTGTGTAGGGAAGGTGGTTGTAGATTGGTGTGCTGCATGTATCTGATGCTTCTTTAGCTGTCTTTCGACAAGTTCAGATACAATTTTCACGTATGGGAGAGTCCGCCAGATGAATGTTTTTGGTGCGTGGGTGACCGTAGTTTTCGAAATACCTTTCTGGTTAAACTCATGTTTCATGCAACGACGTACAAAGTCGCGCGGGGTACCCGTTGTGGGAAAATAATTTGAAAGGATAGTTCAACGGATTCTTGCTGAGTGATGGTCGTGAATAAAATACCGCCAAACGACATGAAGGCTATGTATTTCTAACGGGATCCAAGACACCTAGAATTTGCTCTTGTTTTACGTACTCGCTTCCAACAAGAGCTGGACTTGCTTGGTGTAGATTCAATTTGGCTAAAAGACTCTGGTTATTTGTACCTGGCATCCCTGTCTGGCGTTCGAAAATTCCGATTGGTCCACTCATACGGGACTCCGAATACTGCTGATATTAGGATATAGTACGTACTAAACAGTCCGTATTAATTGTTACACTTATATGTGTATAAAGTCGGCGATTTTGGAGTTGGCCCGGATCGAGCCTTCCAGAGCGCTCAGCCAGTTCTAATCTTTCACCATCTTCCAAGTATCCTGGTTCCGCCCACGCATAGTAGTGTCGGTATTCCTATTTTTAAAATGAAGATGGGAAAATCTGTATTACTGATGAGCCATGTCGCCCGCGAATTCACATCCAAACATTGCGCCCAGTATATGTCGTATAGAAGTTGACTACCTTTCATATCGGTTCTGGTCCCCATCGGCTGAAATATGGGACACAAAGGTAGGTTCCGAGCCCCGTAATGATCTCTCCCAGCCTTTGCTGCATTAATTTTTGCCTGAATCACACTACCAAACCGTCATCTTCTGATGACGCAAATATGGGTGGGTTCTGTACGACAGGCCAACGAGACGTATTCTGTAAATACTGCATGCCTGCGAATATCTGATTCATATGCCTTACCATCTCTGATGATATTTTCGAAGGAGGAATTTGAATGATCCTCCGAGCTACGGCTTAAATCGCACCGTTTTATGAACCAAATGTGATTAAACTCGCATCGTCCGGTGGGGCCTCGTAGCTCAAGTGCTTGGATCGTAGGTTGTACTAAAGCCCTCACCTTGCTGTCGTGGGTTTGGATCCCACCGAGACACCGAGTTTTTCACAGTTGGGTCAAAGCGAATTATATCTTACCGACAATTTATAACATTAAGATTTTCACGAAGTCTGTTGAGTAAACCCACGACCGCTGCGGCACGATTCACACCCGCGTATTTGGATGCTATAGCAAGTCTAGTACACAAATCAGAAGGCCCCCATTTAACTACTGAAAAGATCGAATTTGCCACAGACTGCGCATTGACAAAACAAAATTCCTGCTCCAGTGGCGTGACCAGGATAGATGCAAGAGTGCATTCCACCTCTCAAGAACTTTTGGGTCCTGAGACCTCTGTTACTAGACTTCAAATGAAAGCCAAAATCACGCTACCTATGGTTGTAGTAGCAGTCATGCTTTCGGATATCTTGCAAGTCAGGTGAAGAGTCTGTCGGCTGACGATCAAGTGATGTACTCTCCGATTTCATAACCCTCCCCACGTGACCGATTCCCCTGCCCAGGGGAAATCTCAGCGGAGGAGGAGGGCGCGGGCGAGCAATAATCCCAGTGACTGTGAGCCAAATTGCCGAGCAATCGTCACACCAGCATCCAACATGGATGACGAAATCGCGGCGATTAATGACTCGGACGCGGACTGACCAGCCATCACCGCATCAATTACCATCCCAAGGCCGTGACTGCGAGAGCTGTTAATTACAGTACGCATATGGCCCGACGGCGGCCACGTGCTATAAATAGTGCGCTCCTTTTACCACTATTACCTTTATCTGCGACTGTCTCTGGTGATGGGTTCGAGTGAGAACCCGAATCAGGCCAATAAACCTCCTCTTCCAGTGAACGCATCTTCTTCTTCTGAACTACTTCCTAGAACTCGCCTGTTCGATTCTATCGGCAGTGTTTTTCAGTGTTTGCGACATTACTCACCGTACATCCGTTTTACCGGTTTCAGTCGCTAAGCCGATGCTGTGCTGGCATGGGAAGGCCAAAACGCCCACCAAGAGCACGGCAGGTACAAACAACATCAAATAAATTGATGAAACAGGCTAGACAGGAATCCAGGCGATGGCAGTAAGTAAACAAACTCCCGTTGTACCACAATCTGAAGAATAATATGATCTCATGATCTTGTTGTGATGCTGCTGCTGCTGATGATGATGATGATGACGACGACGACGACGACGATGATGATGATGATGATGATGATGATGATGATGACGACGACGACGACGATGATGATGATGATGATGATGATGATGATGATGATGATGATGATGATGATGATGAGATAATAATAAGATATTATTATGACTATAATAATAATAATAATAGTCACAAAATAAGATCGTATTATGATCAAGATCACATGATCATAACATGATCTTATTGCAGTCCACATGGCAAGCAGACTCTGGCACCATGTTGGCACCCCAACATGGAATGCGTCAGCATGAGTGGCAACCATAAGTAGGTGCCACGATTTTTCCAAACTCCGAACAGTTAGTTCGTCCTTTCTGAAAAAAAGGAACTCATAAAAAGCGACTTTGGCTGAAATTATAAGTTGTCACATAATCAGCACAATTGTTCGGGTGTTTTTGAACACATAATGACAATCCGCAACGGGGTTAAATTGCGTACAGTAGAAGTGCTAACACATAAAAGGCTGACCCAAATTCTGAAATGTGTCTTCGGCTCGAAGATATTACTTAAGTAAAGTTGTAATATTAGCCACGGTGCAGTATCATTCCATAATAGTTCAGTTACTATGGGATGCCGGTTTTTGGGTGAGCTTCTTTTCGGCCGCCGGCAAAAAAACTATGCTCTATGGGAAGTGATTACTTAATTAGCATGAATTTTTCTCAGGGATTTTTGATGCCCTTATAACTTCAAATATTTTTCATAAAAAGACATAAAAAATATTCCTTTTTAACCCATTTGGTAAAAGATTACGTCTTTTTCAGATCTTTAACTTGAAGAAAGGGTATGTTTATTTTTAAAAAAAAATTCTGATTATGAGATTTATTAATTTTCTATCTGAATAAAGGACATAATTCAGTTTTATAAAAGTGTCTAATTATGAGATTTTCCAATACCGTGAAATGCCTGTTTATAAAACATCGTGTCTCTTCATTTGTAATGTGACCTGTAAAGTTTACGATGTGGCCTAAATCCACTGCTAAATTTTATGAACGACATATAGTTTCCTCTTAATACTGTAGAGAAATGTACGATTTTCTGTACACATAAACTATACAGCTCGAGTGCAAGTGTGACAGCAGATCGGGTTCAAAACTACCCGGGAATTAGAAATGTTTTTTAAACCGAACTATACCCTTCCCTCAAGCATAAGATTTGAAGAAGAGGCAGTTTTCTATCAAATAAGTAAAAGAATGAATATTTTATGCCTTTGTGGAATATATTTAAATTTATAAGCGCATCGAAAATGACTGAGAAAAATTCATACTAATTAAGTTGTCGCTTAATATAGAGTGTATTTTTTTTCAGGCGGCCGAAAAGAGGCTCATTCAAAAGCCGGCATCCTGAAGTAACTGAATTATCATGGGATTATGCTGCAAGGAGATTAGTATTAAAACTCTACCTAAGTAACCCTTTCGAGTCTAAAACGGCTTTCAGAATTTCGGTTGACCTTTCATGAGTTAGCACATTTGTCGCAGATTTGGCTTGGTAGACCGCGTGCTGTCTTCATGACCGGTGGCTGACTATGTTTGATTTTTCCACGAAGAACATTCGAGGAGTGGTAGGATTGCAGAATCGCAGTTCTATGAAAAGAGTGGACAATTTGTCGTCGTTACTCAGTGGCTTGCAGATGTGCACTGTAAAACCGGACTGTGAACAACAGAAAAGTCCCACACGCTGAGGTCTGCCGGTGATAAGGCTTAATAGTCATTTCAGGGGGACCCGGAGTCACTCATTGTTGGCTTACTCTGACACTGAACACCTCATTTTAATGGCCGTCAAAAGCTTTTGAGAATAAAAAACAGACTCTATCCTGTGACCGCTTTGTTTTCAAAGGTGCCAGACTTTCTGCCGATACGGACAAGTTTCGTAGGGTAATTTCGCCTGTTTGCAAAAGCATGTTGCTCCACATTAATAAATGTTATCTTTCGAAACGTTTAGTTGCTTCCACCTTTATCATTAGCCCTATCATTTAGGTATTCATTAGTTAAAAAGGATCGATTTAAAGCTATTTCGTCGGATCGGCTCATCGTCTTACTCAAGGGGGTCCATACTGGCTCGCTTCTAATCTGTGGGAGGAGTCTCAGTTTCCATACTGCTTTCCAACAGTTCGGAAAGTGAAATAGCTTGTTGGTGGGTAAACCCATTCACATTGCTTGCGGATGTGCCATTCAATCCAGATGACTAAGTGACTTGCGGTTCTCCCTAAGCTCTCCTTCGGCCGTTTTGGGGTGAGGGCGTGGACTAATGCCGGCGACATTCATTTTCCAGCTCATTCTCGTGTCTGTCTGTCCGTCGATCCCTTCTGACTGCTTTCGGCTCAATCAGCTCATGTTGGTTTTAATGGATAAGAAAACTGCACTTTGGTCGCGCGGCTAACAATACAGAAATGCGTTAGCTGTTCTTTTGACGCCTGCTGTCCGGCTCCGTCTTCGCGCACGCAATACTCCCTGTCGAACTTGTTGGGAAATCCACTATGTTAGGTGTGTCACTGGCAATGGGAACGAGGAAATGTGCCGAATTGTCAAAAGCAAGTCCCTTAATTTGTAAGACATTTAATAATCTGTCTATATTATCGGCCGCTCGGACACGAAACGTGGCATCTTCTCTTTTTTATCTCCTTCCCTAGATCAATTTCCCACTTCATTTTCCAAGGAACTACCTAATTATTTATGACACAAATTCTGGACAAACCCCGGCATTTGCTTTGCCGTTTTCCAAAGTCAGACGCAGTCGGAAACGCATTTCAAGATGCACATGATCAAATTGAACACTACAAGTCCAATGGCCATGTCGATAGGAGCTAATGGAACGAATGACTAGGAAAATTACAATTGGTCAGTTTGTGCCGAGGCGCCAGACTATCTTGCCTTTCCCTACCTGTTCCTCATTCTTGAACTTACTGGTTGTTTAACTGAATGGAATGAACACAACTCGACGCGACGCGCTTGGCATGAGTGGGATTGTCAGGTCGTTTGACTTTTGATTATTAGTTCTCCACAACTCTGGTCTTATCCTGATTTTTATAGTCTGGGATTGACGGTTCTGTCTTTAACGCTCGCGACAGTGGTGACCCTTTGACGTTCACGCTTATACCTTCAATTAGTCGACTTCCAATTTGCATACCGCCCGTTTGCCTTCTTTCTTTCTACAATCATGTCCTCTACGAATTCCAATGATCCCACTTCTTCTCTCAGTGGACTTGTTTCTTCCCTCCCAGACTTTTGGCAACATGCGCCAGAGCTTTATTTTTTCCGTATTGAGGCGACTTTTCACTCCGCCAAGATAACACGTGAAACCGACAAGTTTTATAAGCTGGTCGAGGCCCTCCCTCCCACCATTCATTCTCAAGTGCAAACGCTTCTGAGAGATCCCCCGACTGATGCTCCTTACACCAAGTTAAAGGCTGAACTTCTTCGCCTGACATCAGTCTCCGATCGGCAGCGTTATCAAGCACTAGTAAAAGAGGAGGCCTTAGGTGATCGCAAGCCGTCGGAATTCTTGCGTCGCATGCGTTCTCTGGTTGGGAACATGAAAATCGACGACAAGTTCTTTAAAGATTTGTTCTTAGAACGTCTGCCGATGTCTGTACAAACAATCTTGGCCTCTGGCTCCGACGACCTAGAAATATCAAAGTTAGCGGAGATGGCTGACCGTATGATGGAGGTTGAGCGTTTGTCATCCCCGACGATTGCTCAGGTGTCCCAGCCTCTCAACGTGTCCACCTCTGACCTTGCTGAACTAAAGACGCAGATTGCCCAGTTGTCAGCGACTGTTGCCGCTTTGCAGCTGCGCCGATCCCCCGGTCCCTCTCGACGTCCCTTCGGTCGTGACCGTCGTCGTTCCCGCTCTCGCCCCAGGACCGCCAACCTATGTTGGTATCATGTCAACTATGGCGATAAGGCGCAGCGGTGTGTCCCACCCTGCTCCTTCAAGTCCACGCAGGGAAACTCCTCGGCCGGAGAGTAAACGCGGCCGAGCTCTCTGGCAGCTCTACGGGTCGCACATTTTACGTGAGTGATAACACGAGTGGCAGGCATTTTTTAGTCGACACTGGCGCTCAGATTAGTGTTATCTCTCCCACGCCAGCCGACCGACGTTGCCCAAACCATGGTCTTTACCTTCAGGCCGTAAACTCATCCCCCATTACAACCTTTGGATTTCGATCCCTCTCCCTGGATATTGGCCTCCGGCGATTATTCCCCTGGATATTTGTGGTTGCTGATGTTCCCACTGCTATCCTTGGTGCTGATTTTTTGGCCGCCTTTGACCTTCTGGTGGATTGCATACAACTTTGCCTCCATGATCGCGCAACTACCCTCACTGTCAAAGGATTTCCTCCATCCTCAGTTTCTAACCAGCTCTCCGTCCTTGACCCAAACCCCGACTGTCCATTTCGTAGACTTTTAGCAAAATATCCTACCCTCACTAAGCCCCATTTTTCTGACACCTAATTTCCCCATGATATTGTTCATCACATAAAAACGACTGGTCCTCCCGTTTTTTCTCGTCCCCGCCGTCTTGCTCCCGCGCGTCTTGCGGCTGCTAAAGCAGAATTTGACCACATGCTGCAACTAGGGATTATTCGACAGTCTGACAGTCCCTGGGCATCTCCTTTGCACATGGTTCCTAAACCAAATACGGATGATTGGCGTCCTTGTGGCGATTATAGAGCCCTAAACAATATCACTATGCCCGATCGGTACCCCGTTCCTCATCTTCAGGACTTTGCTGGAGCCCTTTTCGGCAAAACCATTTTCTCAAAGATCGATTTGGTGCGGGCTTTTCATCAAATTCCGATTGCGGCTGAGGACATTCCCAAAACGGCAGTGACGACTCCTTTTGGCTTGTTTGAGTTCCTTCGTATGCCATTTGGTCTCCGAAATGCCTCACAAACTTTCCAACGTTCATTGACCGTGTTTTACGCGGCCTTCCATTTGTTTATGCGTATATTGATGATGTTCTCATCGCCAGTCGAGATGATGAGGAACATCTCCATCACCTTACCCTGCTTTTCGACCGATTTCAGCAGTTTGGTGTCACCCTGCATCCTTCCAAATGTGTCCTAGGAGCCACTTCTCTTGAGTTCTTAGGTCATCTGATAGACTCAAACGGTATTCGGCCTCTTCCCTCAAAAGTTGCCGCCATTCGGGACTTTCCACCCCCTACCTCGAAGCGTCAGTTGCAACGGTTTCTTGGTATGGTGAACTTTTATCGCCGGTTTCTCCCGAACTGTGCCGATACCATCCTACCTCTGACCAATCTCCTCTCAGGTCCCAAACGCACCTTTGAACTTACATCAGCCGCACTCACGTCATTTGAGCAGGTAAGAGACCTTCTGGCTGACGCCACCCTCCTGACTTACTTTCACGCTGATGCACCCATATCTTTGATGGTCGATGCCTCCAATGTTGCTGTTGGCGCGGTCCTTCAACAAAGTCTGCCGGATTCTACCGTGCCTTTGGCTTTCTTCTCCAAGAAACTATCCAAAGCAGAAACCCGCTACAGCACATTCGGACGTGAACTTCTCGCCGCTTATCTTGCCGTAAGGCACTTCCGGCATTTACTCGAAGGTCGAGAGTTCACAATTTTCACTGATCATAAGCCACTCACGTTTGCAATACATTCCCATTCTGACAAGCTAAGCCCCGGGAGATCCGTCACCTGGACTACATTTCGCAGTTCACTTCAGACATCCGCCATATTGACGGGTCAAGGAATGAGGTGGCTGACGCACTGTCCAGGCCCTCTATTGCTCATCTTCAGCTTTCACCCGGGATAGACCTCGCTGAGATGGCCGCTGAACAACGCCGTGTCGGTCCACCCTGTGATGAGGATGTTTCCGGACTCCAACTCCAGGAACTACTACTGACGACTGGCAATGGCACCATTTTATGCGACGTATCCACCCCTTCCCATCGTCCATTTGTGCCGCCATCCCTCCGCCGTAAAGTTTTCTCCTCCCTGCACAATCTGTCTCACCCCGGGAGTCGAGCAACCGACAAGCTGTTTTCCGACCGCTTCGTCTGGCCTGGTATGCACAAGGACCTGAAGGCATGGACACGGGCTTGCATTGCCTGTAAACGGAGCAAGATCCAGCGGCACAACAAGGCCCCCATTTGGTACCTTCCCCGGCCCTGGTGCAAGGTTCAGCCACGTTCACCTGGACATTGTAGGCCCCCTGCCTCTGTCCAATGGTTGTTCCTATCTCCTCACCTGTGTGGATCGGTTCACTCGGTGGCCTGAAGCAATTCCCCTGCCTGGCATTGCTGCTCCAACGGTGGTCAAGGCTTTTCTCCTTTTTAGGCTGTACCCGCATCCGGACGACAGCCTATCACCCGGCTGCTAACGGGACGGTCCAGCGGTTTCACCGCCAGCTGAAGGCCTCCCTACGCGCCGCGGCCGATCCGGAGAACTGGACGGATCACCTTCCCCTGGTCCTCTTGGGCATCCGCTCCGCTCTCAAGCCGGACCTTGACTGTTCCACAGCTGAACTGGTGTTCGGCTCCACCGTCCGACTCCCCGGTGAGATGATCTCGCCAACCCCTCAAGGTGCAGTTGAGGATCCTACAAACCTCCTGCATCGTCTCCGGCAGTTTATGCGGACACTTTCTCCGGTTCCTCCCAGGTCCTCCGCCTCTCCGTCTTATCTCGAGAAGGACTTGGCAACGTGCTCTCACGTCTATCTCCGATGTGATCGAGTCCGCCGGCCTCTGGAACCGCCCTATGACGGCCCATTTCGGGTGCTCTCTCGCGGGCCGAAGACTTTCCGCATTCAGCGCGACAATCGTGAAGAGGTCGTGAGTGTGGACTGCCTCAAGGCTGCCGTCCCTGACACTCCTCCGGATGAGCCCTGTGGTCCTCAACCTTCTGCTTCCCCCCACGGAGCCTCTATTCCACCGTCCCGTATTTTCCCCCTGCCCTCCTGTCCGCCATCTCCGACTGCCACCACCAACTCCAACACATCCGCCACCAGATTTATTCACTCTTCTACGGACCCTGTATATATCACTCATAGTGGTCGTCATGTACACTTTCCTGATCGGTTGGTCACGCATTTCTTTTAGACCTGTACACATCCTTCGGCGTCGTTTTCGCCGGCCTCCGGTCTCGGAGGGGGGTACTGTGCCGAGGCGCCAGACTATCTTGCCTTTCCCTACCTGTTCCTCATTCTTGAACTCACTGATTGTTTAACTGAATGGAATGAACACAACTCGACGCGACGCGCTTGGCATGAGTGGGATTGTCAGGTCGTTTGACTTTTGATTATTAATTCTTCCACAACTCTGGTCTTATCCTGATTTTTATAGTCTGGGATTGACGGTTCTGTCTTTAACGCTCGCGACAAGTTTGAAGATTTGATGCAATAACATCAAGTGCTCAGTCCAACCGCAAACAAAATGTAGTTATAAAAGTATTCTCAGAGGCAACGTCAACAACACCAAGAGACAAAGTTAAACGAGATGCAGGTTTTTTTGAGGGTGTGTTAGAACTTTCCTAAGGGACGGCAAGTCATTTAACATTCGCAAGGAATAGAGGAGACTCAGACAGCATCCGGTTTAGATTCACAGACACGACCCTTAACATAATTCTGGTAACCAAAGTTCAGACTTAGCTCCTTCTACGGAGAAAATCTTCCCGGCGAGGCATGTATACTGAAAATTTTTCAACCGGATTGCAAAACAAAAGAAATAATTTAGATAAGGCAGCTGATAACGGAATCGGGGGAGGGGGGGCAGAGGCGTAATAACGAAACAGACCTCAAAAGTCGAACGAGAACTCTTTCGACTGCAGGGAGTCATTCTGACAGTCTAACCGCTATAAGGATTTCCAATTTAGGGGCTAATATGAGTACCAGTGGTTGGTGTAAAGAGTCTCAACAACAACCTAGGTGAGTTCAAATCTTGCATAATTTCATTAGCGAAAACCTGGTTGACTGAAGAAATAAGCAGCAGCGAAGTCGGTGCTGGGGGTTATCAAAAGCTCCATTGTGGCGTATTTAGACGCAAAGGCTCAGACATTGCAATTTATGTATCCAATGAAGTTCCCTGCTCTCGGAAGGAAGTATCCGGCGTTGTTGTTTAAAAAATTGTGAAATAATTTCGTGTAAATTAGGGGAGGACGAATGCCGACTCTCAGCCTACGTGTTGTCCGTGGGCCTTCCCGCTGGAACAAAAGCCCGGAAGTGGAAATACTGAGTTAATTGCGACTGATATGCATGCTGAAGAACTTCTTACTCCTGTCAGATGTTAACGCCTATAGAATGGGCTGGAAAGTATTCGTAGTAGACGTCCCCAAACAAATTATCCGACTACATGCTATTGCAGTTTCCCCTGGAGGAATACCTCATGCGGCTCGATACACGGCTCAGAGATGAACAGCGATCTACCTATTTTGGTCTTGTTTTCAATAAGGAAGAAGTCATAATCCAAGTAGGCTAACAAGCTCCACTTGGCTTGAGTGAGTATATTGCTTTTACTTACGCGTTTTGCCCCCTACCTTCTCCACAACCGCATACCAAGAGGCATGTACTCATTTCCGTTGGCCAGTATGACGACTAACGCATAAACATTGGACAGGGATTGTGAGAGAAGAACTTGCATTTTGAAGATCTAACATAATTTTCCAAAGGTAAGAAGCAACGTTAGGAATGTTCTAAACAAATACAGCTTGCTAGAACTTCCCTCATGCACCGACTGACATCAGAGGCCGTTACATGCCCCTAGCATGTACATCTGCAGCAGGAGGCTGTACGAGTATAAGATTATGGATTTAAGGCTAGCATCAGAAACGTATTTTCTGAAGGGCCATGGAAAGTCCAATTACTGTCTCAGTTCGTTTAGTTCGTGTTTACTGTGAAATCCTCTAAAGACGATCCGGAGTTTGAAACGGGCCAAGATAGTGTCGCCACTGAAAGCGAAGAACAAAGTCCGGGTCGTCAGTCATACTAAGCTAGACAAGTCTCTCGGATGCGATGGGGCTCCTAGGCTGATACTCAGGGAATTATCGGCAGATTTGGCAATGCCAAACGGGGAGCCTGCATTCGCAGTGGAAGACAAGTGATACAGCAGTTCGAACAACGAGATACAGTGCTCATCAGTTAGCTGGTAGGTCTTCAGCGCTCTAGGTGGTGTGTCATTTGGGTGTTTCACAATTAATAGCACTGCCTGACTCCTAAATGCAATTCGGCAACTTAGGAAATATCCGAATATATTGTTTAATTTACCCTTCCAATGCTTGGTCAAGGGCTTGTGAGAAAGCGTTCATAAAGTCACTCAGCTTGACTGTGAGTGCGCAGTCCCGCGCATATTATCTCCACATTCGTCCGTTTATAGCCGCGATCACCGGCTTAAAACACCAACGTGCGCAAAGACAGTAGAATTCAATGACTTCCTGACGCAAAGAAACGGGAAAAGATTTTCTTTGCCAAAAGTTAGCAACGGTCTGTTAGGTACGAAATACTAAATATGCGGTTTTGGGTTTCAGAAAAACAGTGTTATCTCAACTGACGTCTGATAAACATTAAACGAGGTTCGCAGTACTCAATCCCTTCGATTTCTCCGTCGTCTGATGCTACCTTCGCCATCATAAATTTCGCTCCTGCAAACCTTCAGAAACTGATAAGCTAGCTTACTAGCTCGCACTCAGTAAGAACTGACAACATTCCGAACTCCCTTATTAAACAGCTAAGAGATTCTCCCCCCTGCTTAGCAAATCCTCTTCAGTCTTTCTCGAGGATGGCTTTTTTCCTGACTATTGAAAAACTTCTATTATTACTCCAGTATTTACATCAGGCTGTCGTTCTGATGTTCAAAACTATCGGTGTGTCCATAAAACACTTTCTCGATCTAATTACTCTTCCTCGTAATGATTACTTATCTGCAGTCGTCATCTATTTTGATTTTAGTAAGGGCTTTTACAAAGGGCCACAAAGAAAACTCCTGGTAAACTTAGAAGCTTAGGGGCTTCGCAATCCCCTTACCGAATTTTTTGAATAATACCTATCTAATCATAAGCAAACGATTTTACTGGGATTTTCCTTTTCCAGTGAGAACCCTATTGTAAGTGGTGTCCTACAAGGTACCGTTTTAGATCCTCTTTTGTCCTTGCTCTACATTCGTGGTACCTCGTCTGCAATTAAACATTCTCAATCTTTTATTTATGCTCATAACGTCAAATGCGTATATCCATTCAATAAATCCATGAATCAACATTGCGTGGAGAAAATTCATGCTAATTTGTTTGCTCTATCAGCGTGGAGCTCAAAAAGTCTAATGGAATTCTATCCATCAAAATTTCGCTATATCTGTTTTGGACCTGAAAGGCTACCCCAACCAGTGGTCTTTCAAGAAACACATATGACTGAATGTGCCACCATTAAGGGCTTAGGTTTAGGCCGCTTTAATAATCTAGATCATCCGCCACACATCGACAGAATTATGTCCAAAGCCGTCCAGATATGTGGTTTTATTTCCCACAATTTCTATCTCCCCGAAATTAGATTAAGACTTTATCGAATGTTTACTCTTCCCATTCTTGAGTACATTTCTCCATTCTTTGGTTTGATGAAAGAGGTTAGTCATGCAAAAATTAAAAAGGCTCAAGGACATTGTACGAGAAGACTCTTAAGCACGGCACATGCAAATATTTCCCACTCAGGTGGATGCCAGCTAATTAAGCTAAGATTTCTCTGGTTTCGAAAACTGTAAGCAAACTCCTGTCTCCACTTTCGCATTGATACTAGTTAAAATCTTCCTTGGAGATAAGCCCTTATCCCTGTTAGTCGCCCAAACGATCTTGTAATTCTCCCCTGATTATACCTCATCCCGCTTCTTACACCTCTAAGCGCTCCCTTTTTTCGCCTCCAGGTGTACTTTCCTCTCAAATAAAATTCCAATAGATATAAGCTCATTTGATAATCTACATACATCTAAGAGAAAGCCGCGTCTTTATCTTAATAATGACTCGATTAGACTTCTATTTTCCTCTTCCCGGGTAACTTTATCTATGAGGCTGGGAAATGGCTGACGAGGATTTCGGACGCGGTGACCAAATTACAGCATGTGCGCACACTTTTCCCATAGGTGACTTCACGTTCATTGATGCGCATCAAAAATTTCGATATTCTCGACTTAATAGTCTATGCATCGCGTCATTCACAGAACGCGATGTCCTCCCTGACATATCCTCTCAAAGAAGTAACGGGGCCTGATTGACGTGCACGCTCTAAGCCACCTCCGTTCCGCTAATTACCGACCCTCATCAGGAATCCCCTTTGGCCCCTGCGATTTTTAGCTCTCACCCCCAATCGATTATTTCCGCGGTCCTCAATTCCATCTCCTCATTTTGACTCCAAACGTCCTGTTGACGATCACGGCGGAATTGTCTGTTTGTGTCCTTTGCCTGTAGGTTGGTCGGTCAGCGAAGGAGTCCCATGATCGCATTCTCCCCTCAACGCTATGTCGACCGCCCTAGCCTTTACTGTCCCCTCCTAGGCTGAACTCTAAGCCGACTGTGACCAATCGCGTCTGGGTTCCTCTCTTCTCGTTACTTTGAGGCGGATAGTCTCATCCGGTCTACGAATTCTGCCTTGACGGTTTCCGTTGTGGATCCCGTATGCAGGCCAGTCCTGTTCGACCCGCATTGTTACCCTTTCGTGAGCGACAATTTTTCTCTTCTCAAAAGTGGACTCATTCATATTCATTTTGTCTATCCAATAAAGGGATTTTTACCCTGCCCCCCGACCGTTTTTTTAAATATCTGACTGCTTATTCTACAAGCATAAACTGAATGCTGGAGGTTAGTTGAAATCCTGGGCACAACGCTCCGTAACAGCTTCAGTGGAGAATCCGGCTTTTTCGACCTTAATATGGCTGCCTGGAAGCTGAAGCACCGGTATCTAGGAATTGATCTTCTCGACTAACAATGACATCACAACTGGCAACTACCAAACATGCAGACTGACACACTCTCAGGTAGCTCAACCTCCAACCAACAAATATAGGATGTTCGGGACCCCAAAGCTGCTGAACACGAAGCTCTATTCCTTAGAGGGTTTGCTTGGTTTTTTTCTAATTTTTACTTTTCATCTGTCTTGGAATTAAAAACAGGCTCTTAATCTACCCGCCAGTGGGTAAGCGGGCATCCAAACCAGAAGCAGTCAAAGTGCAGCCGAAATGTGGGACTTCATCGGTAAAAGCGAATATGCGAGTTCTGGGAATTAGTTGATAAGAAGACGAAGCGATCGTTGGAATAAGGACTTAAATCGTCCGGCGTTTCGGATTCTCACTTGGACCCATCATCAGAGACAGTGGCAGAAAAGGGTGACTCGTGCACAGAAAGTTGCAGTATTTATAGGGTGCAGTCGCTATGTTACTGCAAACCTTTCGTAAATAACCGCTCTCCCCTTCATCGACGATTGTTGTCCGCTGGTCCGCTAACTGCATGATGGTCGGCGTGCAAGTTGTTAATTTCTAAAATCTCATCACCCGTGTTGGATGCTGACATGATGATTGCTCGGCCATCTGGCTCACCGGCTTGCGCGCTCCCCGAGTGGTCAGTTGCTTTGGCCAGCTGTTGCCTCAGCATTCAATATGGAGTGGGGGTTTCGTTGCACTTGCTGATGGACTAAGGTCCCGTGAACCATGACTCAAGCAACTCGCGGTTCACCCGATTATCCCTTTCGCGATGATTCCGGCCTTATCGAACTTGAAGGTGTGGGCGGATCTCATCGAATGGGCTGCGACCTGAGAATTGGTGTCAGTACTCCGCATAGCTGCCGCGTGTTCGGCAATTCGTGTCTGGAGCAGTCTTTCAGTTTCTCCGACGTATTTTCTTTCTTTACAACTGCACCAGACCCGATAAACGACTCCAGATGTTTCATTAACGCAAATGCGATGTTGCATGTGGCGCAGAGAGAGGGAAAGTAAGAAGAAAAGAATTTTCCCTATGGTTACATGCTGAGACGGCAATTTGCTACAGCTTATGGGATAGAATTGGTATATTTAATCATTATTATATCATTATTATGCATCAGGAGAACATTGTCTGTAAGCCGTTATAATAGGGGACGCACTGCGCTCTAAAACCACACATATTGGACTAAATCTGATATAGATCAGCAAATAATTGGGGTGCATATTTAAGGCTATTTGTGGAGCAAAAAGCTTAAAAGGACATGGAATATGTAATGCAGGTGATGGATTTGTCCGAAGACAATAAGCAGCAATATTACAGCAATTATCAACGCAAATGTCGACTATCAAACAATTAGCACAACAAGTGCAACGATCCCGGATGAAGGGGGGGGGGGAGTCGTGAATGTTCATAAGTATGTGGTAGCATGGCAACTGCATCCTATAAATACTGCAGCCCCTTGTGCGTGAATCACCCGTATCTGCTGTTGTCTCTGATGATGAATTCGAGCTGAAATCCGAAACGTCAGGCTAATCAATCTCTTGTCCCAGCAATCGTGTTTCCTTCTTCAAGACAATAATTGCAGTTTGTACAATAATAAGCTAACTACGGACCTTTATCAGATGGCTTCCAAAGACACCCCAGATAGTCGCCGACGCGTCAGGAAAGTTCTTTCAGCAGGCTGGAAAATGGCAGGTCTGCCGCTAGTTAATGTAAATAGGAAATCCGTGTCAGCAGCAGCGCGGGACTTTTTGAGTTTTGGTTGTGTAATTGGACAAATTAGGGGAGGAATAGGGGTGCGCATACTCACAGGGCCTCACGGGTAACAAGCCAGAGCGTTAGACGCATGTGAGGTAAGGAAATGTTGTGATGTCAGCCGATATTCCCTGAAGTTAGACCGGAGGTGTCCCAGTTCTAGTCGGCGGGGGTGGCCGTGTATCAAGAGCTGTTGCGACTATCGTTCAACAAAATAGAGCCGGAGAAAAGGCGGACTGGAGCGAATACTACAGGCCAGAGTAGATTCCTGATGAGGGTCGGTAATTGGTGGAGCCGGAGGCGGTTTAGAGCGTGCACGTCAACCTGGCCCCGTCACTTCTTCGGGGGATTGATCAAGGAGGACATCTCGTTCTGTGCAGGACACGATCCATGGAGTGAAAAATCAAGAATATCAAAATTTCCGATGCGATACTGTGAGCATAACTTTATGTTCATCAGACGCCAGTTGAGTCAACACAGTTTTTCCTGAAGCAAAAAATAGCATATTTAGTGTTTCAGACCTAACAGACCGTTGCTTACTTGTGGGTAAGAAAATCTTTTACTGGTTGTGTGCGTCAGGAAGCCATTAAATCCGCACTGTTTTTGCGCACGAAGGTTTTTTTCCTGACGGTGATCGCGGCTATAAATGACCGAATGTGAAGAGAATATGCTCCGAACTGCGCTCTCACAGTCAAGCCAAGTGACTTTATGAACTCTGTCCCACAAACCTTTGACAAAGCATAGGAAGGGTTAATTACACGAAATATTTAGATATTTCCTACGGTGTCGAATTAAATCTAGGAGTCAAACAGTGCTATAAATTCAGCGTGGACCTTCTTCAGCCTAACTTCCACTATCAACTACATCCTATCAATAGTTCCTTATATTCATCCGAATCTATTTTATCTTATACGCGTCGCTTGGACTAGCAGTGTTCTACGCGGCCATGCTCACAAAGTCTAAAGCCGTTGCATACGGCTACACCGTAAGAAGCCTACGTCCGGTCAACGGGTTGTCGGACCATGAAACTGGCTACCAAATGAAATGGTGACGGCTGACACAAAGACAAAGACCGGCTTCTAAAACATAAATGCATAAAACCAGATTGATGGAACACTTTTTACGTGCAATCTTTTCGAACTGATCCACGGTTGATAGATGCTCTTCATTATAATTACGATTTTAGTGCGAATCGACCACATTCTAAATTTTCGCAACTTTATTTTGAGTACAAATGTTCGAAATAATTGTACATTAATACGGTCATCTAGGGCTCTGCCTCTAACCCTTCAAATGCATACATGCATACAAATACCCACACAACAGTTTTTCGGCGGGTGTTTTTACAAGCAGAGAGAAACATTGAGAGGGCTCATGTCAGGAGACTTCAAGTAGTGCAACATGGAGGAGAACAATCTCAAAATATTATATAATCCTCATATAATGCCATAATCCATGTACATTGGTCATTTCTCTGGAGAAAGCTTATGACCCCACTTGCTCTGTCGTGGTGGACGCCTGAGCATCTCAATCAGCGCAGGCAGGTCTTTACATTTGATCCCACGAAATGGGTAGACGCCCCACACCGAGGTTACTCAATCTATATTCAAATTTTTATATGCTAAGGCTCAAAGTAGTCGTAAAAATCGAGGGACTCAAAGCATTAGTTTCATTATGAAATCCCATGTTTTTGTGCTAACGGAAACTTAGCTTAAAGTGGAAATCGCGAGCACCAATATTTCGGTATATGAATACCAGCTCTTTTTGAAGTGGCCGTCAAAATAGGCAGCGTGGTCGCATAAAGACAGAAATTTCGGCAATTATTTGGAAACGCACTCTCTCCATCAAATGTGAATCCGTCTGGGCAAAGATAAAGTTGAATGATTCACAAAGGCTAAGAGTTTGAATGGTTCGCAGACCACAAAATTATCTCAATGCGGCTGAGGAGTCACTCCTTCATTCGGTCAAGTAAGTGGCTGGCTACCAAGAGGTTCTATTGCTGTAGATCTCAACGCATCTGTAATAGACAATGAGAATCTGGCAAATGACGGTGCGCCAACTTCCTTCAGAATTCCGTATTGTGGAGGTACTGGACTGCAGCCTGGCCTTCGATGACTTTTTTGAATTCTCTACCACGGCCAACCTCCGAGGTCACTCGTTAAAACTGCGAATCCAGCAGGCGAATCTGAATGTGCTGCAGTCATCCTTCTCTGTCAGGGTTGTCAACACTTGGCATAACCTCCCCGCAGATGATGTGACGTCACAATCTATAGAAAGCCTTAAAAAGAACCTGGACATCTTTATGTTCTGAAATGAACAAGAGCGATGAGAGATAGGACTGAACTCCCGAGGTTCACGATGCATTTATCATGCTATTATGGACCCACTTGAATCATTTAGACCCACGTGATTTCTCTGCATGTAGTGCCCAATTTTACGCTGCAAATAACGTACTCACAGGCTCACGCCTATTTCCCTCCATAAACTGAGCTAAACTGTAGGCTTACGGACCTCACTCCAGACCTCTCTCTGACATAGCATGTAAAGGCACCAAGGAAACTTAGGGAGAACCAGAGAGATAAATGTTTAAGTCAAGTCTTTTCGCAAGGCTTCTCTAACGTTGACGAACTATATTCAAATGTACCTCTAGGTAAGAGTGACCATAGTACGCTATTGCGTGATTACTCGCTCTACTCCCGATCCCAGAAGAGAACGGAAGGCCAGCGAAGTATATGGAAGGCAGACTTTAGCATAATGAACAGCGAATCGGTGTTTGTGAACTGGAACTCTTTGCTCATGGGGGATCCAGAGGACGGCTAGAAATCATTTAAGATGACTTCACCAGGTCAGATTTGGCGTTGCTGCCCAATGAAGGTATAAAAGAGACTAGTTTCCTTGCTTGGTTAGCAAAAGGACTTTACAGGCGGTTATGAAAGAAAAATAAAAATGGAGGATACCTAGGAAAACTTGTAAGCCAGAACATCTCAAGGAGTTCCTTACCGACGAAATTTGGTCAGAAAATGGATCCGTCAGTCAAAGAACGAAGCCCAAGATTTATACCACTATATCAACAGCCGACTAAAAAGCAAGGGCCCAATCTCAGTTATTTAGGATGGTAATGATGTATAAGTCGTTGGAAACTGTGAGAAAGCCAGACATTTGAGAAGGTTCTTTGATACAGTATTGAATATTGAAACGGAGTTTCAGGGTCACAGTGTCCGCAGTGCTGTTGTAACTGCAGATACCTTTTTGAATTTGTACTCTTCGCGGCATCTGTCGTGGAACGAGAGCTGCAGAGTCTCAAAGGTGCAAAGTCGTGGGGTAGGGACAATATACCCGCAAACTGCTTGAGAGAATTGGCGAGCGGACTCTCCAAACCACTAGCACATAACTTACATTCATCATTTGAATTAGGGAAACTGACACCCGATACACAAAAAGGGGCTCAAACCAATGCTATCAATTGTCGGCCCGGCAGTCTTAGCTTCATTTTTGTAAAATAATGAAAATGTATGTATATGTATGTATGTATATTGAAGGGTTACAGGCAGAGCCCTTGATGACCCTATTTATGTACAGTGCTTTCGCAGATTCATACTCAAAAATAAAATAAAATTGCTGGCATTTAAAATGTGATTGGGTCACAGTTCAATCGTAATCATAGGGTAGTGCATGGGGTCACTGTACATTAGTGCGGAATATTGTATATGACAGATTTTACAAAGCTGGCTGTGCATAGTCATGCTGTACAAGCCGATTTCTGTCGAAAACTAGACGATCAAGTTTTCTTTTAAACACACAAACTGTGTCAGCCGTCACCATCTCACTTGGAAGCGAGTTCCACGGTCTGACAACCCGCTGGCTGAACGAAAATTTTCGTCGGTCTAAACGCGTGCGCTCATTCCCGACTTTGTATGCATGGCCGCGTAGTTGGTTTGTACGGGCGAACTCAAAGAAGTCCTCTGCTCTTAATGAGCAACCCTGACCGCGAACAATCCGGAAGGTCCAGAGTAGACTGCAGTTTATTTGTCTATAAGAGAGAGGGAATAGGCCAAGCAAATTCAGCCTCTCCTGATAAGACAAATGCTTTAGACCATTGCTACTTTTTAATTTCGCCAGAAATTACTGCTAAGAGTAGGTCAGTTTGAACCGACGTCTAGAGGCATAAATCGAAATATGATGTATGAATACTCAGGCCGATATTTATCAGCCACAGCAGGATAACCGCGCGATATGTAATAACTGCCGACAGATAGCTAGTAGTATATATTCATAATAATTATTCTTATTATTTTTATTAAAGACTCGTCGGGGTCCCATCAAGGCAAGTAAAAATAAATTTACATGCGAATTTTAGACGAGGTAGGCAAAATCTGTACAAAGTGCAATACATAGTTTTTGAGATTAGAAGTCCGTCAAGAAAAATGATAAGCGAGGGGTGAAAAAAAACTCCACAAGAAAATTTAAAAATGATTGTATTAATTTTTCAGGAGAAAAAAACCCTCGAAAAAAATAGAAACAGAAAAATGCGGGCAGGACTGGCCTGCATGTGGCGGTATAGAATGGATTATAGACGGACATCGTCAGGGCCCGAATAAATGTCAGCTGTATATGGCATTGTATAACGGATTTCATGAAGGGGTAAGTAGGCGGGCCGGTCAGTACTGGCCTGTATGTGGCCTTGAATAAGGCAAATAAGTGGCGAAATTGAAAACCAGTCTCGAGGCGATAGGAACCCAGATGCGGTCGGTTGCATTCATCCGAGTCCATCCGAGGATGGGGCAAGGGAGATGCGACCAGACTACTAGTATATGACAAATACAGAAGGTTTCGCCAAAAGCGTCGATGGAACGCATTCTTCGAGGGCACGATGCATGAACTGAAAAATTGGAAAAATTAACATTTCTGGTGAGGGATCTTTGGAAGTGAGTCTACTCACAAAGGAATGAAATGTGAACAGATACGGAAATTTAATGGCGGCATACTAAATTCCCGGTGGCCTTTCCCAGTTTCATAGAAAAAGTTGTCTGGGAAGGATGTGGAAAATAAAAGTCTAATCAAGTCAGTATTCAGATAAATGCGTAGCCTTCTCTTAAAGTTGTGTAGATTTTCTGAAGATCTTATATTTATTTGAAGGTTATTCCAGGGGAAAGTATATCTGGAAGCGAAAAAGGGGACGCTTAGAGGTGGAGGACGCTGGAGGAGGTATAATCAAGGACGAGTTGCGAAGATTCTATGGGCGACTATTAGGGGTGAGTGCTGAAATCCAAGGGAAAAATGAACTATGATTAATGCGAAAGAGGAGACAGAAACCTGCTTCTAGTCTTCGAGCCCATAAAAATTTTAGGTTAATTAGCTGGCATCTGTCTGAGTAGGAGATATAGATAGATAGATAGATAGATAATTTTTATTAAAGACCCGTCGGGGTCCCATCAAAGCAAGTTAAAATAAATTTGCATGCGAGTTTTAGACGAGGTAGGCTGAATCTTTACAAAATGCAATTCATAGTTTCTGAATTAGAAGTCCATTGAGAAACATGAAGATTGAGGGGTGAAAAAAAACTCCTCGGAAAAAGTTAAAAATGATTGGATTAATTTTACAGGAGAAAAAAACCCCTCTTTAAAAATAATAACAGAAAAAAAGCGAGCAGGTGGCGGTATATAACGGAATGTTTTCGGTCATCGTCAGGGTATCAATAAATGTCCGCCTTGATGGGTACGAATGTGGGTCAGACAGGACTGGCTTGCAAATGGCATTGTATACGGGATTCACAATTGAGATCGTCTGGGCCGGATTGGTACGCCGCGTCAAAGAGGCCAGACGAGAGGAACCGAGATGCGATCGGCCACAGCACGCTTCGAGCTCAGCCGAGCAGTGAGGAAGGGAGGTACGACCGAACTACTAGAAGACAGTGAATACGGAGGGTTCCGCCGTGAGCGTCGACAGACCGCATGAGGTCGGAATGCGGGAGATGACATCAAAAACCGCGAAAATTGTCGCTATGGGGGAGGAGTAATAGCATTGGATTTAGAAACCAATTAAAAACAGGGGTTTCTAATGATATATTTAAGAGTTACCACTTAATCTACCACTAAATCCCAGGAGGACCCTTCTCGAAGTCAAGAATCTGAGTGTTCGGGAATGAGACCGTTAACAGTGCCTTTATGCTTTCCGGTGTAAGATGGTTGCGTAATTTCGACTTGAATACCAGTAACCTAGGCGATAATCTAATTTCAGGCGGAAGATTATTCCAAAGGAAGGCATACTTGGAAGCAAAGAATAGGGAGCGCTTAGATGTAGTACAAAGAGGCGGCGGAATCACCATGCAGGAGTTCCGCGTGGCATAAGACCGATCTCTCGGAGTGAGAGTGTCAATGAGCGGAAGACTGGAGCTAGAGTTGATGCGAAAAAGGAAGCAAAGGCCAGCTTCGAGTCTTCTAACCCACAAAAACTTCATGTTCGCCAGCTGACATCTCTGAGTATAAGAAATACTGGACGAAGCTTGAGAGAACAGTTTCCGAGTGAAAACCCTCTGAACATTTTCGATTTTATTACGGTCGCAGGCGCTCATTAAACCGAAGAAAGGACAGCAATATTCGAGGACTGGAAGAACAAACATTTGATAAAGTCTTAGCTTCATTTCCGGAAGGAAAAAATTATGCGATATGAATCCACATATCTGCGCGGCTTTGGCAGAGATTCTATCTGCATGAGGTGATAAAGCAAGTTTATTTGTATAACTTAGACCTAGGTCCTTTATGGTGAGGCATTCTGAGAGTGGGTTATTCTGAAAAATTATGGGACCAGGAAGTTTGGTAGGACCAAAAGACATGAAACTACACTTGGATGATGAAAACTCCATCTGCCATGTCGAACCCCATCTGCTTAAGCGTAGTAAATCGGCATTAATTTTTTCAACAAAAACATTTGCGGTGTCCTTAGAGTATGAGTAAACACACTTGAGGTCATCGGCATAAGTAAAAGTTTGCGAATTTGCGAGTTCAGTCGAAATATCATTGATGTACAGAAGGAAGAGTAGCGGACCCAGGACCGTGCCTTGAAGTACGCCACTCGTGATCGAGTGAGGTGTCGAGTAGCTATTACCGACCATGACTTTCTGATATCGGTTGGACAGATAGGACCTAATGAATTCGAGTAGAGGCGGCCGGATGCCGAGGGCTTCCAATTTTACTAAAAGACCTCTATGGGGTACCTTGTCAAAGGCTTTGCTAAGATCAAAGTAAATAACAACCACTGACTGCCGCTCATTACGAAGAGAAGTGATTAGATTAAGAAAAGCCAAGTGGCATGTTTCGCAGGATCGTTCAGGTAAAAACCCATGCTGACTAGAGCTCAGAAGCCGATTAGCTAGACAGAAGTCAAGAATTTCATTGAAAATAATCCTTTCAAGAAGTTTTGCTAGAGACGGCGTTTGGATGTTCCTTATCTAAAAGTTTTTTAGAAAAACGTCTTTGGAAATTTTCCATTTTTAAACGACTAGCTTCCTCCATCAAACCAAAGAATGGGCAACAATACTCGAGAATGGGAAGTACAAACATACGATAGAGCCTTAATTTAATTTCAGGAAGATAGAAATTGAAATAGAAAATTTGGCTGCAAGATACTATACCCTCGTTAAGAGCTCCATCGCGGTCCCAGGCAAGATCGTTCTTGTATTTCCAGCTTATTGTTCTTGACCGAACAGTCGACTCGCGCACTGGACGAGGATGGTTGGGTCAACATCCTCAAGACGGCGTCCGACAAAGACTCATAAAAACTCCTAATCTACAAAATAGTTGATAATAAAAAAAGAAGAGCGGCCGACACGGATCGCAGATTTTCTTACGGAGAGACCGCAAACCGTGTGCGTTGATACCTCAAAGCCAACTTCTACGCTTATTCGGAGTGGTGTCAGTCAGTCAGTCAGTGTATTTGAAGGAAATAGGCTTACGTCATTGAACTCCCTATTTGTACACAAAAAAATCGATAAATAAGCAAAAATGTGAAGAAATTACAGCATTACGTGAATGCAGACATTGATTCACATATGTCACTGGTCTCATGGTTAAAAACTCACATAGTCCGCTTGTTGCTGCAGCACATGTCTGTCAAGCCGACATTTAAATGTCGCCACAGATTGAGACATGTCAACCGTCTCGGGCAGGTTATTCCACAGTTCCAAGACACGGTTGGAAAAGAGATATTTTCTAACATTCAACCTGTCCTGGGGCACACGTAGCTTGAAGGGATGTCCCCGGATTTTAGTTGTTGTGGCGAGTTGGAAAAAGTCATCGCACCGAAGGGCGCAGTCCAAGCCACGCACGATAGCAAAAGTTTCTATCAAGTCTCCGCGCAAGTGCCTATAACTCAGAGGATAGAGATTAAGGTAAGTTAAACGAATCTCGTTTGGCAGTGCACTTTGACCTCTTACTAATTTTGATGCTCGCCTCTGCACCCTTTCAAGCAGATTGTAATCCTGATGCGTCCATGGTCTCCAGACCTGAATTGCATATTCGAGATGCGGCCTTACAAACCGAGGACCTCGAAGAAGCAGTCTTCATCGAAAACTGCGAATGCCCGCTTGATGGCATATAACGTTGAAGTTGCGGCCTTGGCCGCCTTACAACATTGTGTAGAAGGCTTTAGGCTGCCTGCAGCCCAGACTTTGAGATCTTTCTGCGTTTCTGCATCTCGAAGTAGTATTCCTGAAATAGACTGGGTTTCCAATAGCTATCTACCCAGATTCCAGCCCTTTCAATATATTTTCAATTATTCTAATTGGTCCCAACTGGTGCGTTCTCCAACAAGAGATAATCACATTTTAGATCTAATCTTTAACAATGACATTGCTCCTCTTTCTGTTGCTTTAAAAAAGGATCTCTTTGACAGTGAGCACGTATTAATTCATTGTTGCCTGCCGCTTGCCTTTTCAAAAAAGACCAGCGTCCTTCGGATTTACATGAATTACGACTGCGTAGATAACGACTTAATAAATAACTATACTAGATCTTTGGATTGGTGTGGCTTCCTCACTTGTAGCGATGCAACCATTCTTCGTGATATCATGTCCAATGTTTCCAAGGACATTCTAGAGTTTGTGCCGCGTAGATATCTCAAACCTAATTCTTAAGATTCCCTTGTTCCTCATTGCCTTCACAACAGACTAAAAAACTTGAGGCGACAGCTGCGTGGCCCATCCACTAGTTCCTTATCTGTTCATCTTAGAATCACAGAGATATTTGAGATGGCCTCAAGGATGCGCCAAGCGCGCGACAGGCAAAGAGAATCAATTGCTCTCAGTGGTTCGAACCCTGGCAAATCCGTTGTTAACATCTTCCGTCATCGGTCCTCCTCTAAGCGTGGTCACGAACTTCCGCCGCTGCTAAATGATAACAAAGTCTTCCTCACCGATGACACTGACAATGCGGAGTTGTTTAGTGATTTCTTTGCAAAACACCTTGCTACCGAGTCCGATCCGGTCCCTTTCTTTCCATCACTTTCAGATAGGACACTTAGTACAATTGATGTCTCCTCAGATCTAATTAAGAAGCACATAAGCCGTTTGAAATACTCACACTGCTCAGGAACGGACGGGATTCCGAATTCGATTATTAAGCAAGCGTCCGACCTTCCCATATTGCCTAGTCATTTATTCTCTGTTTATATTTCAAAAGGATTCTTTCCTGAAACCTGGAAAACGTCAATTATCATTCCCGTTTTCAAGTCAGGATCTCGGTCCGATGTTAATAACTATCGGGGCGTGCACAAAACTCCGTCTCTAGCAAAGCTTCTTGAAAGGATTATTTTCAATTAAATTCTTGACTTCTGTCTAGCTAATCGGCTTCTGAGCTCTAGTCAGCATGGGTTTTTACCTGAACGATCCTGCGAAACATGTCACTTGGCTTTTCTTAATCCAATCACTTCTCTTCGTAATGAGCGGCAGTCAGTGGTAGTTATTTACTTTGATCTTAGCAAAGCCTTTGACAAGGTGCCCCATAGAGGTCTTTTAGTAAAATTGGAAGCTCTCGGCATCCGTCCGCCTCTAATCGACTTCATCAGGTCCTATCTGTCCAATCGATATCAGAAAGTCATTGTCGGTAATAGCTACTCGACACCTCACTCGATCACGAGTGGCGTACTTCAAGGCAGGGTTCTGGGTCCGCTACTCTTCCTTCTGTACATAAATGATATTTCGACTGAACTCGAAAATTCGATAACTTTTACTTATGCCGATGACCTCAAGTGTGTTTACTCAAAATCTAAAGACACGGCAAACGTTTTTTGTTGAAAAATTAATGCCGATTTACTACGCTTGAGCAGATGGGGTTCGACATGGCAGAGGGAGTTTTCATCATGCAGGTGTATTTTCATGTCTTTTGGTCCTGCCAAACTTCCTGGTCCCATAATTTTTCAGAATAACCCACTCTCAGAATGCCTTACCATAAAGGACCTAGGTCTACGTTATACAAATAAGCTTGCTTTATCACCTCATGCAGATAGAATCTCTGCCAAAGCCACGCAGATATATGGATTCACATCGCATAATTTTTTCCGTCCGGAAATGAAGCTAAGACTTTATCAAATGTTTGTTTCTCCAGTCCCCGAATACTGCTGTCCTTTCTTCGGTTTAATGAACGCCTGCGACCGTAATAAAATCGAAAATGTTCAGAGGGTTTTCACTCGGAAACTGTTCTCTCAAGCTTCGTCCAGTATTTCTTATACTCAGAGATGTCAGCTGGCGAACCTGAAGTTTTTGTAGGTTAGAAGACTCGAGGCTGGTGTTTGCTTCCTTTTTCGCATCAACTCTAGCTCCAGTCTTCCGCTCATTGACACTCTCACTCCGAGAGATCGGTCTTATGCCACGCGCAACTCCTGCATGGTGATACCGCCGCCTCTTTGTACTACATCTAAGCGCTCCCTCTTCTTTGCTTCCAAATATGCCTTCCTTTGGAATAATCTTCCGCCTGAAATTAGATTATCGCCTAAGTTACTAGTATTCAAGTCGAAATTACGCAAACATCTTACACCGGAAAGCATAAAGGCACTGTTAACGGTCTCATTCCCGAACACTCAGGTTCTTGACTTCGAGAAGGGTCCTCCTGGGATTTAGTGGTAGATTAAGTGGTAACTCTTAAATATATCATGAGAAACCCCTGTTTTATATTAGTTTCTGAATCCACTGCTATCACTCCTCCCTCATAGCGACAATTTTCGCGGTTTTTGATATCATCTTCCGCATTCCGACCTCATGCGGTCTGTCGACGCTCACGGCGGTACCCTTAGTGTTCACCGTCGCTCGGCTGAGCTCGAAGCGTGCTGTGGCCGATCGCATCTCGGTTCCTCTCGTCTGGCCTCATTGACGCTAATAGTCTCATGCGACGTATCAATCCGGCTCAGACGATGTCAGTTCTGAATCCCGTATACGATACCTCATGCAGGCCAGTCCTGTCTGACCCGCATGCCTACCCCTCAAGGCTGAGATGTATTGCTACCCTGACGATGACCGACAACATTCCGTTATATACTGCCACCTACAGGCCAGTCCTGCTCGCTTTTTTCTGTCATTGTTTTTACTGTGGGGTTTTTTTTCTCCTGTAAAATTAATCCAATAATTTTTGACTTTTTGTACGGTTTTTTTCACCCCTCACTAATGCATTTTGTAAAGATTCCGCCTACCTTGTCTAAAATTCAAATGTAAATTTATTTTAACTTGCTTTGATGGGACCCCGACGGGTCTTTAATAAAAAATTATCCTATCCTCCCCTATCCATTTGAGAAGTTTGCCGCCGATACCCATTATTCTCAACTTGTGCAGGAGAAGCTGGTGCGGAACACTGTCGAACGCCTTCCGGAAATCAACATAGGCCACGTGCACAATGTGTTTTGCGTCCAATGCACTTGTCCAACTTTGAATTGTATATAGCAAGTTCGTTACACATGATCTTCCCCTACGGAAACCATATTGTGCATTGGATAAGAGGTTGTGGCTCTCCAGATAAGCCATCACCTCCTTTTTGATGGTTTTCTCCATCACTTTGCAGCAGATTGATATCAGACTGACGGGTCTGTAGTTCGTTGCAAGAGCACGAATACCGCTTTTGTAAAGGGGTGTAATGTGGGCCGTCTTCCATTCTGTGGGAAGGATTCCAGCATCGAACGATTCCCGTCACAGAAAGGATAGTGGCTTGGCCAGCTCTCAGGCCAAACGTAGAGCCGTTCTCTCTCTGAGACTACATCAGCGACTGTGTTGACGACCTGAGTTGTAGCGTCCTCCTGGTTGCTGACGATATTAGTCTGTGGAAAGCCATCAGGTCAAACGCAGACAGGCATGCATTTAAAGTCTCAAATCGACTCAGCATCTGACCAGCTCGTTGGTCCCTAGCTTCTAATGTTGTGGTCATGAGACTCCGTACAAGAAGGATTATTGACGAGGATAATCCCTTATGATACCTCTATGATGGACAGCCTTTTTAAAATGTTGAGTGAGAGAAAGACCCCGGCGTTCTAATAATATCCTCATTCAAACCATCTTCAAAGAATCTAAAGGTAGCCAAACGCGCGATACGGTTTTTATTCCCGCTGATGCGGGAATATGTGCAGATCGATAAGGAGCTGTTCGGAGTAACCTACGGGACATTCGCTCGATCTCACTTAGAGTATGCCGCCCGGGCCCGGCAATTTCGGTTCGAAAAGGATTCTCAACAGCTGAAAAGAGTACAGGTGAGGGCTATAAAGATCGTAGCGAATCATTATCATCTGCCTTACGGAGCCAAGTACAATAACGGGCAACCGAGAGGCGAACTCACTTAAACCTACCAAATTGTCAGTGGTCGTGAGTGTGGCCTAGACTTTGACGTCTTCTTCGAATTAGCTAGGACGAACCGCCTGCATCATTATCCTTTCAAACTGCAGAAGAGGTTAGTCCTCACGGACGTTCGACTGAGCGTTTCCCCGCAGAGGGTTGACGCAGCATGAAACAGACACCCTGACGCGGTGGTTCTCCTGGAAACTGTTGAAACATTTAAATACAAACTTGGCATTCATGTGCTGAGAAACTACTGTGCGTATAATCACGATTGTCAGTGGCGACAACTTAAGCCTGACCTATACATACCGATGGCTTTTCACTTCTTAGGGTTGCTGGTCTAAAGATTGATCATATTTATGTTTTGGGTAATTAATATAGGGCTCCAAGGCCACGTTTTTTCTTCCGTGCCTATTTCTGTTCAAAGTGAATGTGTGCAAAATCGTAACTATATCTAGTGGCCATTTGACTAAACAACAAAAACTTCCCCGTTGACAGGAAGTTGCAGTTATGCACTTCTACAGACATTTAAAAATCCTTTCCTACTATACCGGCGTAACATAAGCCTTAGTGGTTTAAACACAGAGCATAATTTGATCATATTCGCTAACTGTGGCGATTGGCTAAATAACGATCTCGCGGTATGAGCAAACCGCAACGATTGTTTTGTAATACTAACTGTGCGTCACGAGCGTGTGCATCTTTACGTTTGGTCTTATCGCTGTAGGGGCTTGACGCTCCCTGGAATTATGAGTGCATGCGCAGATATCCTAAAATTTTGCATCCTCGGTCTGATATTAAGATTTGTCTGCCAGGAGTATTGTCCAGATGATTTTCTTGCCAGTATTGCACATGCTGCCACAGAGGACTGGGAAAGAGGTAACGGGCGCGCTTCTTTTACAACGTTCTCTATAGTAAAGGAGGAGATGTTTTTATTTCGTAACCCCAACGTCACAGAAGCTTCCATGGCTCTAAAAGAAGTAAATCGAATTCTTTATATGCTCCTTTTTTAGCCGCCACTATTTCTTTTTTTGTTGAAAGCCTTCAATTCGGTGCTTTGTGATCGTCTCATGTTTTGGGTAGGTCAACGTCTGGTGCTCGGACACTTCTAGATCCTGGAACTGTTGGGTTTTTTCTCCTTCATCGTATATGACATGTCAATGAAAAGACATTCGGTCGACAGTTTAAATGTCTCTTGGTTACCAGCTGCAATTTTCGTGTAAGCACTGTCCCGTTTTCCTCCTCAGCAAGTGGTGTCTAGAAGGGTCTTTACTTCCTGAACTAGATAGCGTACTATTTGTCTTGCTCTTTAAAGTACGGCGATTCTTTCGGTGTTGCGTCAGAGCCTGATAAACAGTACCGTCCATAGGCTATGTGTTATTGGCAGACTAAAGAGACGGGAACGGCTGTTTTTGATTTTGGTGCGATTTGCATACTCAGTTCTGCATGCTGGGAACGCTCAGCTCTGTATTCTTGTTTCAAATCAAAATAAGGATCTTCAATTCTGTCGTACAGTAGGATGGCTTAGACTTCGTGATGCCTCTTAAATGTCTTTGGAGTTACCGGCGCAAACCTAATATTGCATGTACTAACAGGTGCTTTCTTCACAGAAATCGTTTTTATTTGCAAGTGCTTGGCTACATAAGAAGCATCTGCGCCCTGTTTTTGGTCCTCAAAGGCTTAAATAACCCATCTCAATCTCAACTTGTCTCACAGTCAAGTTCCTTTTTGCATCCATTATCTATGTCAAGTAATATTTACCAAATCCTTGTCAGTAGTTCGCTTGCCGTATAATCGTCTTGTCTTGATCTGTCTTACCCTTAATTTTTCATAGATACTGCTTCAATCCATATACCATCTTCACATTCGCGAGTCAATCTGTCGGAATATTTTCTACACTTACGGTTGTTTGGACGTTCATTGGCATGGCTTCAGGTGATATTTAATGTCCTTATTTTGGTATTGGACCTTTTTTGCTCAGCTCCACATTAACGAAACCCAGGTTATCGTATGTTGTCTGCTATGAATTTTATCTTCTTCCATGAATGAAACACTTATTAACGACTTATATTCCAATTCTAATGGTCTAGCTCTTAAATGTAGAATTTGAACCGTAGTCCATTTGATTTTTGCGCTTAACAGTCTACTTGTTAAACCGTGAGCCAACGTTCTGTCCGTTTTGAGGGTTCTAGACCGGAGTTCCCAAAAGGCCTTTAGTTCGTCCTGAAAAAACCGACTCGGTGCACCGTACTTCCTTGCGATAAATTTGGGTAGTATCTAGATATGTGCTGACCATGAGAAGAAATTTGTTCCGTTGTTCTCTGTTGTGATCTAACATTATTAGCCTTTGTGTCCTTTTCATTACTTTCCGCCTATACTTCCATACTTTGGAAGTGTCAAGTCATTGCTACTGCCCTCAACGTCCAGAAATACCGTCTTGTGCATACCGTTTGTCAGTTTGTCGATCTTTCCTTTCAGACCACACGACTTTGGCAAGTGTTATGTGCGCCATTGGCTGCTATATAAATATCTACTCAGGCTACTTACTGTTCGCCATCGTTGCGCAGGTCCGCCAGGTGAGTTCGAGCATTGAAAGTTAAGAGTTGACGTGAAGTTGGTGCATATTATGGCTTTTTATGTCTTAGTGTTCGTTCCTATGACATATATTCACGATAGTCATATCTACGTCCCCATTCAGCAGACTTCAGGTCTCTCAGTTTTCTAAGACTGTTACACGACCACCTAAGTAATAGGGAAGTTTTGTTAACATATACTTCTAGTTCCCTATTACCGTGCTTGAGTAATATAAAGTTTTCCAGCGACCTGGCACTCGCATGCAACACAAATGTAGATGTGATCTTTTCGAACTGATCTGCTTGGCCTCCATATTTGAGCATCGCTAACGACAAGTATATACATTTATATTTTTGTTACTCGATGACCGCCTCCTTCTCCACCGATTGCTGACTGGGAACCATCTTACTATGATCAGGCCCGGAAAATTAGGACATCCTAACTTGTCGACTTCAAATATCACACGTCACATTTATACTGGCAATTATCTCTCCCTGAAGCCCTGCTCGGTAGGGACCTCGTGTCAACGTTTGCGGTCTCCCCCAATTCGCTTGTGAGACTTGAATGAACTGCCTAGACCTTCGATGACTTTTATAAATAATACTCATACGCTGATTTACAGAGCCAAACGAAGGTATGGAGTTGCTTACCTTTTGGAGTTGAATTCAAATCTGACTGTCTGGTCGCTAGTAGCGTTGGCTCAAATAAGTAACGCCCAACTGTGGTGCTTAATTTCGACCGATGAAAAGAGCGATGTCATTGTCTGAAAGTAGCCCATCTAGACGTAGCCTTTGTTCGTTTGAGACTAATGTGCAAATTACACCCGTATCGAAATTTTCACACGCTATTCATTTTGTGACCAACAGCCACTTTCTGCCACCACATCGGTCGCTTCTGCTATCACGGCTTGAAACCTACTTGCCGTTTCAGTGTTGCTACTATTTCGAATGGAGCATACTTACTTAGTTGACAGTTTGACTCCCTGATTTGAAGGCGGACCATCCCATCATTCACTAGCACGTATTTCCCATCTCCCTCTTTGGTATCGTTGATTTGGCACCCTTTTGTGTCATGTATTTCCCTTGGTTAGTAAGCCTTCTGATCGGTTGCTTATTTTTGACAGATGCCTTGTCCTGCTTCACCCCGTAAAACTACCTTGTCTCCACATCAGCGATGATGTCCTGGTGTAACCACTCAGCTAATGGGATATTCTTAGATGACTATGTTTGTGAGGTCGTCAGTGCGATATACCTTGTTGAGCTCATGTTTGTAAAAGCACTTAGTTCAGTATTACTTCGCATATTTTGTTCGGAAAGCTGTGCACTCTTTACAAAATGTCAAAATGAATATATTGCTACATTGCCTTCAGTTTAATAAATCACGCGTTCATTTGGTGTAACAGGGCTCTCTCGCTCGTTCGAGTGGTGTTCTTCAAGTAAATGTACATTCGGTTTGTTTTTAAGTACCGCTGTCGTGTTTGCCTCTACTACGTTCACGGGCAGTTCACTCCAGTGACCGACGACTTCTATGCTTTCTTTTAATCGACTAATACGGAGGTCATTTTCAATTCACAATGCTCTTTCTGTGGTTTCCCTTTTAGACGCCTACTCGGGTAGTCAAGTCGGTTCTGGCGTTTGCTCTGTGCCTTGGTGGTCTGCTACTCGCATCTGCACACCTTGATGGTGGAGATTGGGGCTTCCTACGCTACACTTACCTTTCCAAGTTAGTTCCACCCCTAGCCGGTTGATTGGTTGTCACCTCATAGCATTCTAACGAGCTCCAAACTTTTGCCCATTAAGTATCTTCGCCGTGAATACTACGCCCAACATGGGCCTCTTCTGGTATATGTACGTGGAGATGTTCGACCACTTCAACACCTTCTTCGTGTGGACTATGCAGCTACTCATCTTTGGCACTTGTTTGGCCGCCACTCTGCGCTTCTAGTAAGCAGACCACCTAAGTCATATTCCTGATATTTCATAAAATTGCCCTCGTCCTCCTAACCATAATTGTAAAATCACTTTCCGCGACATCTAGGCTTTTCAAGCATGACATTAGACTGAATGATATTACCGACAAAGACGAAGGAGACGGGAATGGCCATTTCTGGCTTATTAGCCGTCGTCAGCCAGTCATACCCAATCCCGAAGTGTGGAACACCCGAGGTTCGGTAATATCATTCTGCCTATATCATGCGCCGCTGTGCGGCTGCTGGTTGGGCTCGAGAGAGAGAGAGTGTATAAGGCACAACGGGACGAGTGAGTTCCGTAAGAACGATCGGTGAGCGCCCCCTACCATTGGCATTAGACACTAATCTGCGAAAGACACCACAGCGCGGGATAACAGACTTCACATGCACATTTCTCGTAAAGGCTGTTCCTTAAATAACGATAGTTTTTTAATTGTCCATAACTTCTAGTCACCAGGACGTTTTCTGAAGTAGACTTTAATCCGAATAGCATGTCCTGATAGCCGGAGCGTGATCTTCAAGCAAGACAGCGACGATAGCGCACAGACAACACAATCGACGTGAATTCAAAGATACCACAAAAAATAGGAGGTTGGATGGCCGATAGAGTTATTAATAATGGAAACGTCATATAACAGTTGCTTCAGTCGCACTTGTGGTGGTGGCGGCGCGGCTAGCTGGCCTCCCAATCTTCATGATACCGTCTTAACATAGGAGACTGGAAAGTGGGGAGTGAGTAGGGATGATTCTGCGCAAGTCATTTCTTCAAAGACACTGGCGGCCCCGTCGGAGTCGCCGGACAAACTGCCGACCGTCGTTGATCTGAGATCAAGACTGCTGCGCATGTTTTTACAACCAAGCATCCATCTGCCGTCGCCTTACGCAGTTTCCTGAATGACCGGCCTGTTTTTAGGGTCTTGAGGGAATAATCTAGCTCTGATTTGTTTGTTTCCTAGACTCTGTTCTTTCGTGCATACAAAAGAGACCTCTTCTGTCATCCTCTCCTCTCCTAGTGAGGATCCTCTGTTTTTGGCGGTGATTTTAACCATGTCAACGGGAATTCTGAAGCCCTACAATAGCATAGCTGACCTAGGATGCTCACTGGCCCTTGCTGCGCACTGGCGCCATCTGACCCCCTGTAAGTATTTGCCTTTGTGTAAGTGTATTGACTGCTTTTTGCGTAAAATTCCTGAAACGGTGGCTGTTTACGTTTTTTTTTATCGCCTAGGCCGCTTTTGTTTGCATGACCACCTTGCGGTAGCCGGTAGGTAGTCGTCCCTCCGTCATCCCTACCACCGGATTGGCTGCTTTTTAGTTGTACTTACTTGTACTTGACGCGACTGTGGTCATGCCTGATCTGGCCGGCTTCGATGAGGTCACTCATTGTAACTCTCCACGTTTGGCCATCTGCGACAGCGGATCTGGAAAGCTCGACCCATTCTCTACTCCGAATACCGAAGGTTCAAGAACCACGTCCATGTCTTGACGAAGTGTGTCGAGCCAGGTCTTGAGTTGACCTTCCCTTTAACGCCTCCAGGTGGGCAACGGCGCCGGATCAAGAGACAGACTACCAAAGACGCCCTAAAACCACCTCAGTGGTCTTTCTTGGGTGACCTGTTGCACCCAGCGAGCGTGGACTGTCATTAGAAACCATGTCAATGTACTTCACCCAGTGGATGGTTCACAGTCAACTTTGGTCCAATGCCTCCACCTCATCACATTCACAACCCTGCACGAGGACCTATCGAAGGGACACCCAGTACATGCAGCTCTTTGTGGCGATGAAGATGTCGTGTCGGATTCGTAGGCACCTACTGAGGATAATGAAAATCCCGCAAGCAACATCGACTCGGAAGACAGTGTCGTCTGTCCTTTTGGCAGCAGTCTCATCCAGGCGCATTTTAAGCTGTCCACTTCTTCAAGCTGACAGCCATTTATCACGAGGGGTGCCTTCTCCTTATGGATGGACCGACCAAAGTAGCAACTTTATTCGTCCGCGGCACCAAGTACTGTAGATCGCCAGAGCTGGAGACGAGCAAGTCGATATCGTCGGCATCCAGGTGGAGAGTCAACATCTTGTAGGGTCCTTCCGAGAATACAGCTAATGACGAAGTGAAACGAATGGACAACAGAATGCGACCCCCTATCAACACCAGACCAGATATCGAACTGCCGAGGCAGATTGTTGTGTTGCCTTTTTTCACGTCTGTACAGGAGTAGGCGAATAAGTCGCACAAAAGTAAGTGCCCCTCCCTCCCAGATCGTATTATCTGAGGCAGAAGGGTCTACGCAGAGGCCCACATCAACCCGTGCGGACAACTCGGGAGGCTTGAGTACGACCGCCAGTTCTTTTCAACTTTCCCATTAGTGACCGCGATCTGTCCCGCGCACGGTGTACCAAGATTTCACACAAACAACAAAAGAGGGGAGGGTGTACTGCCACACCCCCTGGTCTACAACATACACTGATCAGGATTTTATACAAGAAAATACCGGGGGGCCTCTCGGATCCCCCTCGGTGGGAGTGCCATAGAGGTCACACTAAGAAGGAGTCGTCGCAGCCTGACTCTCAACCCATCAGTCCGCCACTCCACACACGAGACTGGCCGCGAGGACAGATTTGTCTCCTCATTTGGCTGCCCTCCAAGCCATCACTTCTAGCGCCCTGTGATAGAATCCAAGCCTGGCAGACTTATCGTAGTGACGAATGCGTTGCAGTGTCGTGGGAATGAAGTTTCTAGCGCAGGTGCCTGCTTTAAGCCCACACACCTGTTTCCGCAGCTCCATGACGCTACTGCAAGGAGTTGGACTGCTCTGACTCTCACGAAAAGGAGTACTGATGACTGCCCTGGACCTCTTCCTTAAGAAGTGTGATTTCGTCTACACAAACATTAAAAATACAATCTCCTGAGTGGTTGAAAGGAATCCCAGCAAAAAGCCAGCTTGCTTGATCTGCTTGGGTATTGCGTGGCTATGTTTCAGCCTACCTAGCATTGCAACTTCGTTAAAATAGCCTGTGCTGTCCGAAGGCACACGCTTGTGTCTTGAGCAGCCTCCCCGCCCCATATCCGGTCTACGGCTTCGCGTTCTTCATGTGTTACGAGACCCGCACGAGGACCAGTCACATACCCACCTTAGGGGCAAGCCATCGACATGAGTTATGTGTTTGTTGCCAGTGCGCATGTGGCACCGGCAGACAAGCTCTCTAACTCTGCCAGCCACTGTGCCCAGACATCTGATTGGCTCGGACAGCGGCTGGGCTCTGGCAATGTGAATAGAGAGTGCGGTCGACGACTCAGCGCGTTTCCCTCACTATGAATGATCTTACGCGTTTGAAGCTATTACGGTGTGCTAAAAGCTCTGACTTGGAAGGTTGCCAACCGACGGGTCAACTCGGATCCCTCTCCCCCCAGTAAGCCCAGTTTGCATTTGCGTGAATAGGAGGACTAGTGGACTGAGAGTCAGGCTGCAGTATTTCCTTCTAAATGTTGTCCCCAGGGCACTCCCACTCCGCGGGATCCGAGACGCGTGGCAGCACGCCTAGGGGCGACTCTGGCCGCGCCGGCCTCCTCCGCCTTCTTTCGCCCTCGGTCTTCTTGACTCTGTCTTAATACAGGGTCCGGGTGGGGGCAGAGGAGAGGTTGCGGTAGATGCTGTGCAAGCCCACTACCACTATAAACTAGTTCACGCGAAAGTCACCGTCCCTGCTCTCGCCCTGCTGTGGAGCACAGGGTGGACATCGTCGAAATCGACGCGATGAGTGGCGGCGTCTGTCAGCTCCCACCAGTGCAGATTTCCACGCGTATCTAATTGAGTCCGTGTTTGTTTTTTGTCTGTCACCCTTACCAGACTTTAGGAACCTGCCCTTCACGCTCGGTCTGATGGGGACGGCACTTATCCTCTCGCCTCTCTTCTACTTCACTTGGTTACGGACAGCCACGTCGAATGCGAACTTCTACTTTGCGGCTGCTCTCATACACAGTCTCGGGCGTGTAAGTCCGTATTCCTTATCGGGTCCATAAGAACTACTTTGCACGCCCCGCCTCCATCTCCCCTTCCCCTCCCGCCCTCCTCGCCTTTCTTCCAACACTTTTTTGCAACCAAGCCCGAACCGACGAGCGGTCAATAATAATTGATCTTCTTGACTGTTGTTTAGCAAATGCGCTGCAGGCAAGCGCTACAAGGATGCAGACTTAGAACCTCCTGGTGACCGCGAATACAAACCGTAGTGGCGATGCGCATAGTCTCGTCCACCACAGTGCGCTATCCAATATTGCGCAGTTTTACGACTCCTGGGCTTCACTTTATCACGAAATTATGCGTCGAATGGTCGAAAAATGCAGCAAATGGGGACTGCAGTGGTTTTACGCTGACCTGCCTTGCTTGCTTTTACTCGGCACCGGAGGATCGATGTTTACTCGAAGTGCATGGAATAATTCTGAATTTTTCCGGAGGGGGGGAGGGAGGAGAAGGTCAGGGGAACAGTTCCAGACTTGAGCTTATCAACCCATAAGAGTAAGAGGCAGGACCTAACGTTTTCGCTCGTATACGCTCCAGCACGAAATGACCCCAGGAAGATGGTGGCTATGCAACGGCCATGACTGTATACCGATCCGGGAGATAGGTTACTTATAAACGTATTTGAGGCCTCATGCTTGCAGTAACAGATGACAGGTGCTGGCACCCATTCCTTAGGGCCGCACTCGCTGCTATCTTGCAAAATGTGAGTTGTTTTGCGTGTTCCGATGCCTACTGTGTCTGATGTGAAAGTATAACGTATTATTTTGTCAGTAGCGCTGGCCCCGGGCGTACTGACGTTCCTGAAGTAAACAGATGGTAGGTCTGACTCTCAATCGTTAAATGCCTGCCGGGGGGGGGGCACTCCGCGAGCAGACATCATAGGCCGATGCGTTTCTCATTCATCGTAGCTTGGCCAAAAAGGACACCATAGCAACTGAGGCCTCATAACCGTCTTTCGGCGATGGGGGAGCCAAGTATCTCTTCCGACCGACCGAGTTGCCTGTCCTCATGCTAAGTGACGCGCACTTCATACATGCTGACGTCGCGATTGACAGCCTCCGGGTCAGTACGCTGATGCTCTTCAAGGAGATCAAGACGTTTGCCCCGCACACACAGGTGCCGCTCCTGCCAATGGGTACCGACAAAAAGCGTCGCAAGCCACTGCGACATTACCAGGCTTCGCTCGCCGCCATCCTGTGCAATCCCGAAGCCTTAAACTGGAAGTCGTTCGTGCTCCAAACTGGCCCCTGCAACCGCGAATCGTCGAGCCACGACCTCTCCTGCTTTTAGGGCAACCCATAGGCTGTGCTTTGTGTATCCTGATTTGACTCACTGAGAGCAAATGAGGTCGAGGAGAGCAACTTTCCGTCGAACACTTGTCTGTGCAGTTTGAACTCTGGTCTTCACATGCGTACAAGCATTCTGCAGGGTTAAGAGCGATCTCTCGCAGACAGTACTTATTGTTGGGTGGCAGCTGGTTGGCCATTAAAAAAGCCGCCTACGCCCCATGGAACAGGCGCAGAGGCAGACTTTCACGGCTTCTACTGCGCGCTCCCCCCTCCAATCGCCTTGCTGCGACGGCCGGTGGTGTGCGCGGACCCGTTTACGCGCGCCACACACGGCCTCGCACGAACGAGAATGCCACGAAGCCTACATTAAGGGGGGGGGGGGGCATGACGGTTTACGTTAAGCCTTTTGTCATAACATTTCGATCACGCTGCGTTAACTCCCATTTCAGACCCAAATCCTCTCCCAATTGACCGCCAGCTACATGAGGTTTCAGTTCTACCAGAAGTACGGCAACGAACCCCACCTTTCGAACGGCGCCAAATTGGTTCCCAGAATGCAGCTTTGAGGGCCTCTTGCTACCTGTGTGGATTGTCTAAGCACTGTCTTGTGATATGTGGCGTGCTGTATGCCCACCTTACTGTTTGTCCTTTATATTGCATTCCTTAATAAAAAAAATTTTATATCTCGGAATGAATATTTTTGCTCTGCCACAATGTGGGCTTTGAACAGGGTTTCTGGTCATTTGTGCTAAGACAGATTCCCGGTCGTTCGATCAGGCGATCACTGGCTGGCACCGAATCAGCCGGAGGGAGTTATCGTGTTCCCTAGTGAGGTCGGATTCGCGGTATTCA